GATTCCTAGAACAGGGATTCCCAAGCTGTGGCTGTTAGGTTGTGGGCGAACATATCAGACGACACAGCGATTCTTCCAAAGCAGCTCTTTATTTGTAAGCTGGAACAGAACTAAACTGAGGAGCTCAGTCAGCCTGCTTATATAGAGCTCCACTAGAATGCAACAGTAACCATTTTCTGTAACTAGCCAATCACTGAACGTCACTTTCGATCCTTCATTTGCATACAAACTATCCAATCACTGAACGTCACTTTCGATCCTTCATTTGCATAACTATCTACAGTATCCCCCTGCTGGCCCAGGGTGAGAACTTCAGTACATAACAGTGGCCTTACAGATGAGCTTCATCCAGGTGAAGTGTATGTGAGGAACACTTACAATTTGAGCACTATGGAGTTCACAGTGTAATACAAAATACAATATAAGAAATAAAAGAAGCAGTTAAAAATAACACAGCATCTTACACAGTGTGTTACAATTGTTACAACAGGCAGAAAAAGATCGTTATGTGGCCCGCTAAAACTGTTTGCAATTCTCAAAGGGTCCATGCAGGGGGAGTTTAAGAACCACCATAAGACCCTAAGAGCAGTATATTATTATTATTAATAATAATAATAATAATATGCACTATCCTGGAAGACAGCAACATCTAGGTACGAGGATGTTGATATCTAGGTAATACATTCAAAGCATCCATCCTAATGCTCAGGGTGTGTCTAATATCTTAATCCAGGAACGACCAACTGCCCCCCTTTCCGATTCTGTACAGCTTGTGTCCCAAATTCACCCAGGAAATGATGTCACCACAGACTGCATCTGACTTAGCCAGTGCAACTCCTCATATGATGTAAGAGCACATCTTAGATTGGAATCAGCGCACCCGTTCTCTTGTATGGTCAATATCTCATACACACATACGGTACATTATTTCCTCTCTTTCCAATGTTCAGAGGTGATTGCGGTTTCCTGTGTAGACAAAACAGTACCATTCGTGCACAAGGAGGAAGTATGAGCAGATCTGGGGGAAATCCAAAGTATACAGAATATTTAGAAAATATTTAGAAGAGGAAGAACCTAATGAAGACATGCTCCATGGCCATGCAATATTGACTGACTGTGTGGCTGTATACCTGGAGAAGGGCACGTCTGACCGACTGAAGTGCTGAACTGAGCACTCTGCTGCAACATTTTGTTACAGGCCCAGTGCTTTTTTTTCTTGGTGTACTCAAGAGTACGCAGTAGCAGCACCATTGCGGTTTTTTAAATTAAAACAAAAAGGTTAAAAGTGTGGCATTTATTGCAACAACTTCATGGTGAGTACCGGCACCCTTTTCTCTCTTTTTCTTTTTTTAATAAAATCTCTGTCTTTTTTTTTTATAGAAAGAGCACTGTAGAGGCCCCACTTATTCTAGTCTAAAGTCCAAGTTCAGTCCTCAGTATCTCCAGCTGAAGGAATGAGAAGGCCTCTCTGTTCAACCACCTCTGCAATCATGGTCATGTTAAATGTTTATTGTGACCCTGCATAATATTTCATACAATTCAGTTAGTTTCTAATGCTTAGCCTAGGGATGGGAAACCGGTTAGCCTTCTCAAGGATGCTGGACTCCCACCTCCCATCAGCCTAAGCCAGCATGCCCAGTGGTTAGGCCTGATGGAGGTTGTAGTCACACCCCCCATCAGCCCTAACCATTTGATTACACTGTGATTGGGATCTGCTTTCTCATCTGAGTTTCGAAATGAGTGGGGTGTGTTTTGGGAGAGAGGCTTCCTATTTCTCAAGGTTTGAGGATCGGCAAATGTGGGAGGGAGTAGCTTTTCCGAACAAAAATCTCAACAAGATCACAGAGGATCTTTTTCTTTTTAATGATGAACTGCATCCTTCCAGGATGCATAGCGGGTGCTCTCTGATGCTTTCAGAATACTCACCCCTCTCTCTGTGTCCATTCGTTTCCATTCATAAAATACTTGACCATTTAAATAACCACAAGGAACAGAACATGAAAATAGCCCCTCACAATATTAATCTGAAATTCGCTTCCTCTGAAATCTTCCAGCATCCCATCTCTAGGCTATTAAGGCAGCATAAAAAAAAAACCCCGAAAGAGGGAGAGGGAGGAAGTCAGCAGCCAGAGGCAATAATAGTTAAGTGCAAAGGCAGGAGATGCTTGCAGCTGTTTATTAAGTTGTGCAAAGCAGATTACAGCCGCCGCCAGAGTCTCTGCAGAGCTAGCTGGGCTTGGCTTGGATGGAGTGGGATTGGATGGGGAGGGGTCTCAGCTGCTGAGATTTAGCCCCACGCTAGGAATGGGTGGTTTGAGCAGCCCTGTTCCAGAGAGCATCAGCCGGCAGATTCCCTCCACTGAAGGCAGAGCGGAATTGGAGCAAAGTTCTTCTTGGGGGACCAGTCAGGAGGAGGGGAGCTTGTTGGCACTTCTGAACACGTGAGTAAGAGCTCCCGTTTTAGGATCCTAAGATGGTAACTCCTGTAAATCCCCAAGCGCTTCCAGTTGGAAGAGGCGAATTGGAAAGCGAATCCTGTGGGAATGAGGGAAGGGGGCTGGGGAGCCTGAATGGCTGCTTTACTTCTTGGGAAATGATCACACACCCAATAGCAGGAGTGATATTTCTGGTCGAGGTGGAGAGGAAACATCCCTCTCTAATAGACAGTTTCTTAAGAGTATCAGCACTGTGTGTACCAACCTCTATGAGCCCCTATGTATATTAAAAACAACAACTACTATATACGTAAAAGTCTCAATAGGTTTGGCTTTGCAACAAGCCTGTGAAATCAGTCATGTTGCTGTTTTGCAGATGGGAAACAGAGGCAGACAGATAGCGACAGGGACTCCGCCTTAGATCTCCTGGATGCATGGTCCATGAATCTGTGCTGGAATTTCTGGTCTTTATGAACAGGGACGATTGTTTCAGAATAGCGACGACCCGCTGAAACAACACCAGGTACCTGTAATCCCAGGGAGGGGAAAACTGACTGGAAAAGGCCCCACCAGGGGTAGCTAGAGGAGTGCTGTTCAGATGTTGTTGCCCTACTCTAGTTCCCATTAGTCCCACTCTGCACAGACATCTTGAGGACTCCATGCTGGCTGCCCCAGTGTTCAGTCTCTGAAATCAGGGGTGCTTTGCCCACCCACTGCTAAAAGCTACAGGGCCAAACTAGGTGTCTTTGTGTGGCATCTAGTTCTGTTTTCTTGTAGTTGGGGAGCAAAAATGACAAGGGTTGGTAGGCAGGCAAACAGTTCTTTTGCAGTTTCTGCCAAGGATCAGCTCACCTGTTTTTTGGGACTGGCACAGACTGTGCAGAGTTGGCCCTAACAATTCATTCACTCATAATCTTTAAGTGTTTGTGTAGTTGTGTGTGTACGACTCTGCGGACACAGTGTGGGCACTTTCAGACTTTTGCTTATTTGCCGTGGGATTAAATCACATCCTAGCAAATTCAAATTGCTCGGTTTTTGGATTGTGCAACAAATGTGCTTCGTATAAGACGGGACTTTTTAACACTTAAGAAAGGTGTTGGGGAAATACACAGGACCGTGTTGGAAACCACTTCCTTTGACGCAATCTCATCTAACCTCCCCACAAACAAATCAGAGCAATTGCTCCCTGACTATTTAATGCCATCTAATCTCCCTGCAAACAAATCAGGATGAATGCTCAGTAAACAGGTTGCCTGGGAGCATGTGGGCACGCAGATAGGAAGGGGTCTCAGCTTCCCTGCCCACCACACCCTGAATCTCATGGCTCCAGGCTCAGTCTGTTTGCCTTGTCTCCGGTTTTCTCTTTGTCCATCTTTGCTGGTACGACGGCAGCAACAGGCAGAACAGGACAAAAGCAAACCGCTCTCTCTTCATAGGGTCCTTGTTGACTGTGGACCTTCCCCAAACTCTAAAAACAAAACAAAATAAAACCAAAAGTGGAGGTTTATTGGCAGTCCTTTTTTACAGCCTTAAAAAAAGATTTTTTTAAAGGAGCACATTGTTGCTTTGTAAAATAAGCTAGTTATAACAGCATTTAGTAGACATAAGAGAGTGTGAAAAGCACAAAGGATTTTGTTGTAACCAAGTCCTGATATTTTATCATGTGTTGTTACTGGATGCTGCGAAAAGTCCCAGTGCTGCTGGATAATATGCTAAGAGCTGTGCTGGCACCTCTGATTAAAATTTCCTTGCAGTTCAGCAGCTTTCTCTCTTGTAGTTTTCTTCCCTTATAAATCTCCCCTTTCTCTACACGCTACCCAGTCCAAGCCAAACTAAGCACTCTGCTCTCAAAACGCACAAGGCCTTTCATGAAGATCATTTTGATTTAAGGCTCATCCACACTTGTCCTGTACCTAAAAATCATAGGTGTGAGTGGTTTTCTGTTTGCCTCTTTGCTTCCCCTGGGAAAACCCACTCTGTAGCTACTGCTGAACCAGAGCAAATATCAATTTGCTCAGATTCAGAGGTAAGGAGCAGGTTTTTCCAGGGGGAAATGGTGGGAAAAATGGGAGTATGGACAGGCCTATTTTTTTACTTTGTATTCCACACTTCCTCACGCCACTAGTTGTGAAGATAAAGGTGAGAATCACATATTTGCTGCCCTGGGCTTCTTGGAGAGAGGCTGGGGATGCAGGGATAAGTTTGGAAATGTTGATGTTGACTGCTAGAAAGAAGTACATAGCCTAGTCTGGTTTACTTGTTGAACGATTCCATAGGAAGACTCTGACCTCTCTCTGTTTCAGCCATTTCCACCATTGAGGCTCTGGCGTGGGAGGTGACGTTTGAAGCTGAAGAAATGCATTTGTGCCCACGTCCCACCCCCAGGAACGAAACGGCAGCTTTCCTAGATCCCCAGCCTGGAAACGGAGCTGACGGCAAGGCCTTTCAACCAAAATCAGCAAGATTGGCTGGATTGTGAAGGCTGCTTTTGGAGCCGTTCATTTTAGACTTGGAAGAATTGGTGAGCCAGGGGAGCCTACTCAGTTAGCGTGTTTTGCTAACTGGATGGAGACTGGGAAAGGGCATTTGCCCAAGAAACGTCCCATGAAGCAACGCTGTCAGCAGGAGACAAAGCTGTTAACTTTCCCTGGGTTCTTGGTTCTGCTCCTGCTGCTGCTGCTTCTGGCTTTGCCATCCTTTGCCCATCCCGGGCCCACTCCCACCGATGAGAGCGGAGAGATTGTGGTAAGTCGTTCCTGGGGTATGGTGCCCCAGATCCAATGTTCTCTGCCAGCTAGCGTGAATTTTAAGGTTGTGCAGCAACCAAAGAATCCAACGCAACATTTGCTCGAACGAAAATTTGTGCAACAGACTGAAAGCCGATTGATTACTGATTCTTTTTAAAACATGCACTCCCTGCTTTTCCAAGTAAACCCTCTCAAGGTAGGTGTTAGGTTGTGGGTGAACATATCAGACGACACAGCGGTTCTTCAAACAGCTCTTGTTTATTCACAGGCCCAGAACAGAACTGAACTAAAGGGTTCAGCCAACCTGCTTATATAGAGCTCCACTACAAAACAACAGTAACAACTTTCTGTAACTATCCAATCACTGAACGTCACTTTCAATTCCTTATTTGCATATGTGGACCTGAGTGAAAACTATCTACAGTATCCCCCTGCTGGCCCAGGGTGAGAACTTCAGTACATGACAGTAGGGTTCCAATAATCCAGAGCCCCAAAACCCGGACAAGTTTGGGGCACCTCCCCGCCACCCTGCAGCTCCCTTGCTTGCCCCCTCCCTGCCAATTACCCCTCCCTCCCTCTCACCCGCCTGCTCACCACCTCCTCCCCTCCCCTCTCTTTGGTCTCCTGCCCTCTGAAAGATGAGAGGTTGAGCGGCCCCGGGAAGACTGTGCCAGGAAAGCCCTCTGGGGACTCCACTGGGCCTAGTGTCACCCACGGAGGGCTGTGGAAGGCCCGGTGGTTGCCAAAAATCCTACCAGCCACCCCCCTCCCCACCCAAAATTTTTAAAAATAAAAATAATTACAAAATACAAAAATCCATTGGGAGGGGCAAGCTGGCCACCAAAAGAGGACATGTCCGGGAAAACCTGGATGTATGGCAGCCCTATCTCAAGGTGACTTACATAGTAGTTTATGAATCAAAATACATCAGTGTTTATATACATATATATGACAAGATTATGATTATGGTTTATTGAATTTATATACCGCCCTATACCCGGAGGTCTCAGGGCAGTTCACAGAAAAGATCAACATAAAAACCACAATATATATAATCAAAATAAAAACAACAACCCAATAACACCTGCTCCGCCCTCCCCCAAAAGAGCCACATTATAAAAGGGCATAGGATGTCAATCAGATCAGCCAAAGGCCTGGTTAAGAAGGAACGTTTTTGCCTGGCATCTAAAGGTGTATAATGAAGGCGCCAGGTGAACTTCCCTGGAGAGAGCATTCCACAGACGGGGAGCCACTGCAGAGAAGGCCCCGTTCTCATGTTGACGCCTTCCAGATCGCTCAAGAAGGACGACGTGTACAAAAAAAACACACCCGTGGGGCATAGGAAGGTGGGGGTAGTGGGGGCATACCGCCCCGGGTGTCTTTGCTGAGAGGGGTGACATTCAGTGTGCCGCCCGCTTGCAACTCTCAAGCCGACCCCGAGTCGTCGGGGGGAAGGGGGGAGCTGCAACACTTCGATGGCAGCATTCTCCCCTTCCCCCTTTGTTTTGACGGCTTGGGAGTTGCAGACAGGCAGCGCGCCGAATGTCCGCCATTGGTGGCTCACTCCTTCCCCATGGGCGGCTTGCTCCGCCCCTGGCTGAAGGGCATACGCGCCGCTCCGAGCACCCAAGCAGCTATCCTGCGCCTGGGAGGGCACCTTCCGTGCCTCACCCCCTTCGGGAGTACGCCCGCCCTGGGCAGCGAGGGCATATGCTTTGCTGCTTCAACCCAGGAGTAATAAAATACACATTCAGCAGATACTATTAAATTTATTTTCCACAAATCCAACTCTTGTCAAAGGGCATCATAGCAAAATAGGCATCAATGGGCAGAACCACTTGAAACAGAGAAGTCTTCAAAGCCTTCCTAAAAGACTGGAATGTGGTACTTTCTGGTCTTCCCATAAGCGTCTAGCTGGCCGCTTTGAGAACAGGATGCTCGATTTGACAGGTCTTTTTTTTGCCTGGTGTATTCTAGCCTTTTCTGACTCGGTCCCCTCCAGATATTTGGGACTACAACTCCCATCAGCCTCGGCCTTCTTGGCCAATGGGCAGGGATGACATGACTATTGATTTCAGCTCCCGGCAAATGAATCTGTGAATCAGACAAATAACACAAAGGGACAGGACTTTGGCACGCAGTGGTTCTCAACCTGTGCGTCCCCAGATGTTGTTGGACTACAATTCCTATCATCCCTGAGCTCTGGCCTTGCTAGCTAGTGATGGGAGTTGTAGTTCAAGAACATCTGGGGACCCACAGGTTGAGAAAGGCTGGTTAGAGGATTTGATATCTTGGAAAGAAAGGTGAGAAAGCTACATTGACCAGAGTTCTTTACCTATTGTGTTTTCCCCTAGGAGTGGCTGACCCAGTATGGATACCTTCCTCCAGCGGATCCCGTAACAGGCCAGTTGCAGACTTGGGAGGCAGTAACCAGTGCCATTCGTGTAATGCAACGTTTTGCAGGCATTGCGGAGACTGGGATTCCAGGTATAGTTCTATTTTAAAAAAGCAACTCTTAAGAATTCTAGTTCCTGTTATTTCTCACCGGCTATGTTCACGCCAGACTTGTATTGAAGCACTAACCTTGTAGCTCATACCAGCATGCTGGCCAGTATGTGAAGTTTCAGTAGAGACTCTTGGTTGTGAGTCCCCCCTTGGTTGTTCGAACCCCGCATTGGGTAAAAGATTTCTGCATTGCACGGACTTGGACTGGCTCCTTCTTTGGCACTTACTTTATGGCCTTTCAGGTAGGAGATTAAGACCTCCCTCCCAGCCCAGCCCTTTTAAATTCCTAATTTTAAAATCTAAAATCAGTTTTCATTGTTTCCTGGGGTTGCTGTGTGATTTCGTTACCCTGATTTTATTCTCTGCTTTATAGTTTGTTATTTATAGTCATTGATTGATTGATTGATTGATTGATTGATCGATCTCCCAACTGGGATAGCTCAGTCAGTGGAGCATGAGACTTTTAATTCCAGGGTTGTGTGTTCAAGCCCCACATTGGACAAAATATTTGAGCATTGCGGGGCGTTGGACTTGATGACCCTTGTGGTCCCTTCCAACTCTATAATTCTATTCAATCATTCTGTTCTATTATATAGATAAATAGTTGCCCAGAAAACTTTTCTGTTGTTTATAAACAAACAGATAGATAATGAACAGCTCTAAAGCTGGATTCCAAAAATCTCCAGTTGTATCCCGTATAAGTGAGCTCTGCAGATGTAATCCCTTGAGTCTGGAATTGATCCAAGTACAGATAAGACCAGGATTTATGCTCAGAAAGGCTAGACTAAAGTAGAATTCCAGGGGGTGGGGGTCAGAATATGCACCCCCCCAAAAAAACAAAACCTCTAATCTTCTAAGGCAGGCGTAAATGTGATTCCTGGCCCACCAACTTTTGGGACTGCAGCTTCCATCATCCCTGACCATTGGCCTTCTGTCTGGGGCTGGTGGGAATTGTAGTCCCAAACCATGCTGCCTAACCCTCTTTGAATAAAACTACACATCGTTTTCCACTGTTATTCCAAGTCTGCAAGATACTCTTGAGGCCAAGTTGAATTGATGAGTTTCAGAGGGCTTTCAGAGATGACCAGAATCTTAAATATCATGGCATCCAAATCCAGACTTGTGGTCTGTTCCCCTCCAAAGAAACCGTGGCTGGAACGCAAGTTTTGTTCTTGGCTTATTGCTTGTGGCTTGTTTGGAGGAAACAAGCCCAGATTTGGATACCAGAACACACCAGACTCTGGGAGCAAAATGAGCCGTGTTTGAGCACACTGTATGAGCACACCTGTAATTTGCCTTAAACCACAGTTTACATTTTAATTATGGTTCAATGTCTGCATGCAAGCCAACTCTGTGCCCGGGTTGTGCCACTTCAGATTTTACGTGGGCGTGCACACAACAAATACTCCTCATTCCCAAAATGTAACCGTGAGCATTTGCCTGCAGTCTGATGTGGTACCGTAAGTCTCAGGCACTGATTCCCTACCTTGATAAAAACTAGGCTCAGGTAGGCAACATGGAGACCTCCTGATGAGTGCATTCCCAACGGCCCCAGCCGTATGTACATATACATGATGGGAGCTGTAGTCTATTAACATCTGGATGGCACCATATTGGTGACCCTTAAACTTGAGGGATGCAAGATTCTGGACTAGGAACATAGGAAGCTTCTACTGAGTCAGTGTGCTGGCCGTAACCCGTGAAACACGGTCCAGGATCCAACCAGAATCCGAAGGTTCTGCTAGGAGTCAGTCCAACAGGGCCAAGGCAGGACATGACGCAGGAAACCAGGCAAGGACAGGTACAGGATCTCAGGCAGGATCTAGCATACAGCAATGTTGCTCCTGCAAACTGGGGCGGAGTCCAACAGCCTTTTATCTTTGTTAGGGTAGCGGCCAGTCCTGATCCCCCGGCGACTCACCTCCCTGTTTTGCCCGAAGGCGAGCACTCCTCCTGCAAGTACTCAGGTCTCTCCTTCTCTCAGACCTTAGTCTCTGCAGCTTGGGAAACGTTGGTGGGTTACTAGACCCAGGGGCCGCCTCAGCCTCCCCTGACCCAACTGGTAGTGGAGCAGCTGTAAGTGATGACAATGAGGTAATCCCCGCATCTGGAGCCAGGGCAGGCTCAGGCCCCTGACTTGGCCCAGCTGGTGTTTGTTGCAGGGGAACCTGTGCAGACTGGAACTCTTCAGGACCAGGCCCCAGACTTGGTTCAGATGATGCCTGAGGCAAAGGATCCGGTTCATACTGAGTCTCCTCTGGTTCTGAGTCCGAGCCTGAGTCCTAGGCCATCACAGTCAGACTCTTGATCCATCTAACTTAGTATTGTCTACACTGACCGACAGCAACTATCCAGGATTCCAGACAAGAGTCTCTCCTAGCCCTGCCTGGAGATTGACCCTTGGACCTTCTGCATGCACTGCGGATGTCCTACACTCTGAGCTACATTTCTATCAGCGCTGGATTTAGAGTGGCGCAGGTGGTTCCCCCGGCACAGGGCACCAAGCCCAGGGGGCACAAAATAACAACAACCATCTATATTTATATTGGTACCTACTCAAAGTGTGTGTGTGTGTTGACCTCATTCATGGCACCATATTACAGAGCCCTCCCCTGTTTCTATTTCCCTTGAACTCAAACAGACGATGCCACGTTGGCTCTGATCCGAATGCCCCGCTGTTCGCTTCCCGACGTTATCAGCACCTTCCCAGAAAAGCTTCCTCTGCGGAGGAGCAGGAGCAGGAAAAGGAGGAAGAGAAGGAAGAGTCGGAGCAAGCGGAGCGCAGGCTCGGTTTGGACGAAGCGGAACATTTCCTGGAGGTAGGTATCGGCATTGTTGTTGCCAATGTATTTATTTGCTCAATTTCCCACTAGTAATTGTTGTTGCACTGTGTCTCCCATCAGCCCTGGCAGAGGCTGATGGAAGCCCAGCAGTATCTGGAAGGCTTCAAGGTCCCCATCCTTGTTTCGGTATGCCTGAAAGATGAAGCAAGCTGGTGGTGCATGACAAACGTGAAAACAAAGAAAGGGTTTCTGCATGCTAGATAGTCTACCTGTTGGACTGAACTGAGGAGAAATGGTGGGGGCCGCCTTCCCCTTCTCCTGAATCTTCCTGAGAACAGGAGGACAGTATAGATTTAGAACAGTGGTTTGCAGAAGGGCATACTGTAGTTCAGAAGCTGGGAAATGTTGGAAGAGGAACAGCAGGAAGAAGAAGCACCAGGGGAGAGACAGCTGACAGACTCAGTGTCTTTGGAAAGTATTCCTGACCCCCTTCTCCCAAGACCTGGTGGGCATTGAGGGTAGTGGGAGGGATCTAACTCCCCAAAGCCTGACACTATCAGGTCGCTATGTGGGCCTTCACTTGTAACTTGTAACTAGCCTTTATTGGCTGAAGTTAAAACAGCAAAATCATAAAATCATACAAAGTCATCCAAATTCATTAATAATCCAAATACATACAATATATCAAAGACTAAATAGCAACCATTGAATAAATCAGGCAACTTTAGCTTTTCAAGATCTCGGCTAAGTACTCCAAAACAATCTTGGTAGTTTCGGAAGTATCATCCCTCAACAAATATTGGATTACAGACTCCTTGCAAATCAGTTTTTTTGAGCTGTGAGGGGATCAGGAGGAGATCTCTGCAATGGGCCTTCACCAATGGACCTTCCCTTAGACGAGTTTTTGATTTGATCCAAGAAGGGTCTCCTCACCTTCCATTCTGTGTCTGGTCCAGGCCAAAGAGGTGAGGGATCTGGTTGCTTCCCATCTGTACATTGTCTCCAACATAGAGTGAAGACCTACCCACGGGAAGCCCGCCTCAGCCGAGAGACCATGCGAGTATTGATGTATTATGCCTTGAAGGTATGGAGTGAAGCTACACCCTTGAACTTCCACGAGGTGGGCGGCCACACGGCTGACATCTCTGTGGAGTTCCTCCGCCTGGACCACCGCGATGGCTACCCTTTTGATGGGCCGGGTGGAATGGTCGCTCATGCCTTCTTTCCTGGAGACCCTCAGAGGGCTGGCAACGTCCACTTTGATGGCGACGAGGAATGGACATTCCGTTCACCAGGTGACTTGGCTTTCTTTGCATGGTGGGTTGGGGATGGAAGAGTCAAGGTGCATTTCACCATAAAGAGAAGGGAAACAGTGGCAGTGGAGGCAGGGCCACTGCCACAACTAGAAGAGGGATTTGTCTTCCCAATTTCCTTTTGGGATATTTAGTCACTATCCACTTGATGGTTGAGGCTTACAAAGCGCTTTGCCCTGGGCTTTGCAAGCACCGACCATCAGTGGACATTATCGTAACGTCATGAGGTGGGCCTTCTTTGCAGTGGCTCCCCGTCTGTGGAATGCTCTCCCCAGGGAAGTTTGCCTGGTGCCTTCATTATACACCTTTAGGCACCAGGCAAAAACGTTCCTCTTTAACCAGGCCTTTGGTTGATCTTATTGACATCCAACACCCTTTTAGAATGTGGCCCTAGAGCTGGCGAAATAGTCATCCACTGAGAATTACTTAAACTGCCTGGGTATTTAATTCGGTGCTGAAGTGATAGCAGAGTTTGGTTTCTGTTGCATTGGGAAGGTTGATGAAAGCTTCCTTGTACCATTTGCTCTGTAGACACCTTTTCAGCAGTTCATCTGCTCTTGACTGTTTTGCACCTGTCTGGGACCCTTCAGGTCTTCCACTAGTGCTTGTGAGGACTCTGAGCCCCCTCCCCGCCACCCTCTTAGTGGTGACAGTTACCTTTTCCTTCCTCGAAATCACAGAGAGCTACCTCTTTCAGCCCTATGCGCTTTTCATGGCTCAGATTCCTTCTAGTGCAGGGGAAGTTAGTCTCTATGTGCATGCTATCTCCCCTTCTGTTTTTCAGGGGTAGGGGGCTGCTCTGGGGTTAGGGAGCAGAGAAGTAACCACATGGGGTGGTGCCTATGACACTCATTCAAAAATCTAAACGTGCCCACGGATCTGAAAAGGTTGGTGACCCCAGCCATGGTTAGATTGGTACTGAATGGACACGTATGCCTTGTGCAAGCCATTGGGCTAAATGGACTTCCTTCCTTCCTTCCTTCCTTCCTTCCTTTCTTTCTTTCTTTCTTTCTTTCTTTCTTTCTTTCCAGTTTCCATTTTTTTTATTTATGCTTTTCAAGTTTATACATTTCACTAATTTTATACATTTCACTAATTTTACAATCATTCTGACATTTCAAAACTTGACTTCCTTCCCCCTCTTTCTGCAGTTCCTCAAATATCAAATATTAATATCTTCTGCATATCCAAATTAACTTAATTTACTCATTTATTCATCTTCTTTAAATATATACTCCTATAAAACCTGCAGGTTATTACAACAATCCTGCCAATGTCCTTATCTGTTTACAGTTTATTTGTAAATAGTCAATAAACCATTTCCATTCTTTTATAAAAAGTTTGTTAACTTGATTTCTTATTCTTCCGGTAAGTTTTGCCATTTCTGCATATTCCATAAGTTTTTGTATCCATTCTTCCTTTGCTGGGACTTCTGCTTCTTTCCATATTTGGGCAAGTAACATTCTTGCTGCTGTAGTTGCATACATGAATAAGTTTCTATACATTTCAGGTGGTTCTGTCCCTATAATTCCCCAAAGAATGGGCTGTTGTTTTTAACAAAGGTTATTCTGTGGTTGGTTTGCCTTGGCAATGTTTTTGTAATTCTCCTGATAAGTCACGCTCTTCTTTTGGCAGATGACTTTGGCACCGACCTTTTTGCTGTGGCAGTTCACGAGTTTGGCCATAGCCTTGGGCTGGCACACTCACCCTCCAAGCATTCAATCATGCGCCCCTACTACCAGGGACCAGTGGGAGACCCACTGCAATACCAGCTGCAAGCGGATGACCGGACTGAGATACAGAAGCTTTATGGTATGTGCAGTGGGTGGATTGCTGAGCAGCATGGACCTACTCTAGGGAGGACTTCATCTAAGTCTCTCTAGATCATTTAGACCTACTGAGAGGTCTCTGGGTGATTTGTAGTAGATTGGCAAGGATTCCTGACTCCTGGTTGCTGACCATTTTGCGACAAAGGCCACATTTGCACCACACATTTAAAACGCTATGATACTGCTTTAACAGCCGTAGCTTCTCCCAAGGAATCCTGGGAACTGTAGTTTGTTAAGGGTGCTGAGAGTTGTTATGAATCATAGAATCATAGAATCATAGAGTTGGAAGAGACCACAAGGGCCATCGAGTCCAACCCCCTGCCAAGCAGGAAACACCATCAGAGCACTCCTGACATATGGTTGTCAAGCCTCTGCTTAAAGACCTCCAAAGAAGGAGACTCCACCACGCTCCTTGGCAGCAAATTCCACTGTCGAACAGCTCTTACTGTCAGGAAGTTCTTCCTAATGTTTAGGTGGAATCTTCTCTCTTGTAGTTTGGATCCATTGCTCCGTGTCCGCTTCTCTGGAGCAGCAGAAAACAACCTTTCTCCCTCCTCTATGTGACATCCTTTTATATATTTGAACATGGCTATCATATCACCCCTTAACCTCCATCTTCTCCAGGCTAAACATGCCCAGCTCCCTTAGCCGTTCCTCATAAGGCATCGTTTCCAGGCCTTTGACCATTTTGGTTGCCCTCGTCTGGACACGTTCCAGTTTGTCAGTGTCCTTCTTGAACTGTGGTGCCCAGAACTGGACACAGTACTCCAGGTGAGGTCTGACCAGAGCAGAATACAGTGGCACTATTACTTCCCGTGATCTAGATGCTATACTCCTATTGATGCAGCCCAGAATTGCATTGGCTTTTTTAGCTGCCGCGTCACACTGTTGGCTCATGTCAAGTTTGTGGTCAACCAAGACTCCTAGATCCTTTTCACATGTACTGCTCTCAAGCCAGGTGTCACCCATCTTGTATTTGTGCCTCTCATTTTTTTGCCCAAGTGCAATACTTTACATTTCTCCCTGTTAAAATTCATCTTGTTTGTTTTGGCCCAGTTCTCTAATCTGTCAAGGTCATTTTGAAGTGTGATCCTGTCCTCTGGGGTGTTAGCCACCCCTCCCAGTGAGGGGTGAGACCCCTGTTCCCCTTGCAGAGCTGCAATTCCCAAAGTGGTTTAACAATCAATCTCTGGGAATTGTGTAGGCGAGGGTCTCCTAACATCTCTGTAATGATAACTAGAAGTATACAAAGGTACAGTTAATTTTCACGATCTTTACCTTTAACTAGATAACAAGCTTACCCAAATTGATCAAAACAGATGTCTTCATCTGCCTGTCCTGGATAGGGTTGCCATATTTTTTAAAAAGTACAAACAACTAGGACACCCTGGAAGTTTTTTTACTTTGTTTTTTTAAAAAACTCGAAGGTTGTTCAGCTTTTTTTAGACAAATCCCAAGATAGCTTACAAAAACGCCCCCAAACCGTGATTTTTCAGTTTACTCACCAAAGATCCAAGACAAACCATTGACCTTGTCCTGGAGAATGAGGCTGGATCTAGACACATCAAAGAAGCATTTCAGTTAAACGCGTTGTAAACTTTGTAGGAGAAATCGAGTTAGCAAAAACAGACCTCCACAGCGCCATCTGGTGTCACAGTGTTAGAATGCATAAGCGTTTTTTCTCTGCCATTGTAGCTGAGTCCTGACTTCTTCTTCTTCATCCCTTACTGCCAGCACTGGAGCAAATCATCCCACTGCTGCTTGCAGAGGCAGACAGAGGCAAAAGCTATAGATCCATTCCAGCCTTTTTATTCTGCCTGCATCTCTCTCATGTCTGCTTCCTTCCTCCTGCCTTCATCTCTCCCCCACTGCTGCTTCCCTGCAGGTCACGACCACTGATGGGGGTGGGTTGCCCTTTGACACGATCTCCTTCTTGCCATGACCCCTGGCTTATTGAAACATTATGGTGTTTCTGGGTACCCCCAGCACTCACCAGTGCATGTCTATGTACACCGCTTAGAGACTGTTAGAATTCCTGCTCCGTGATTGCAGTCATGGGATTGTTGTCTTTCACATGACGGTATGTGTTTTGACTCCACAGAGTGGGAAGTGACGGAGACAGGATGTTTGTGTTACTGTGTTCCGTGAAGTGGGACAATTGTCCTTTGTTCTTTCTCTTTACTGTCTGATTCTAGAGAGAGAGGGAGCCATGTTTAAGTGCTTTGTGTGTGTTTACATGTAAATAAAGTAGATTAGCCAAAATGCTGAGTTCTGTTATGCAAGCTGTGCAAACTCTGAGGATCCCTAAGTGTGCCAGTGTCTGTTGGCATTGGTCGCTGTGATGTTCGGGCAGAAGAAAGCTTTTGAAGCTCCCGAACGATCGACCAGGAGGGAGGGAACATGCCAGTCGGGCATGTGTCTCTGCAGGGGTCCTACTCGAGTGTAGGACAAGCTCCTGACAGAGACTTCAGTAACTGAGCAGTATATTTACCTAAAATAAATACGGTACATCTTGGGGTTCTGGGAAGAAACAAAACAGATCTCACTGGACTGAAGCCTGTCCTCCCCTTCTCTAGATAACATATTGTAGCGGGTCAAATAGGCCTCTTAAAGAGGATTAGGGCCAAAGAGTGTTAATCTTGCACATCTCTGATCCGTCAAACTGTATGCCCGTATTTGCTCCAGCTGGGCAAATTCCTAACAGAGCAGCACTTAGATTAATAGACTTACCGTTTTTTCCTAAGATCCATGGAAAGGCCTGTTAGGATTGCCCAGTCTGTCCTTCTATAGTCAGAGAATCCTGACAGCTCCTTCGGTGAGTTGCAGAAAAACATGTGCAGGCTGGGAAAAACTAGTCTTGAATCTGGTTTGGAAAATGAAATCCTTGGGCTTTTGCAAAGACGTCTTTAGGGATGTGAAAAAGCAGAGCCGTGCTTATATTCCAGAGTCAACTTCTCGTACTCTGGCAGATGAAATGGGATATTTTTAATTTGGCTGTATCTTCTTCTTCTTTGGCGATCACCCGTAGCCGAGTAAGATTGTCTTCCATAAATACGGTCTTAACAGTGAGTCCGTAAGTGATTGTGGAGGCCAATTCTGGATGCACACGTCCTTCCACAGTGGGGACATAGGTTTCCAGGCAGGAGTTGATCACAGTGTGGATTTGCCAAGCGTGTCTTCCTCTTAGCACGTTTCTCCCTTTCGTCCTGAGTTTGAGCATCTTCAAAGCCCATGACAGCTGTTCTCCCATTGGAGCACTCCCAGGCCAGTGTTTCCCAGTTGTCAGTGTTTATACTACATTTTTAAAAATTTGCCTTGAGAGAGTCTTTAAACCTCTTTTGTTGTCCACTAGCATTACACTTTCCATTTTTTTATTTAATAAATAATTTTTTTATTAATTTTTACACATATTTTCCAGCATAACATCCTTTTAAACATCATTTTGAATTTTTTGGCTATTACAGAATGGGGCTGTGTACCAGCAGATAATACGCGCTTTGGGTGTGCCTGGTAAAAGCACCTCTGAAACCACCCTGTGATAAATTCGTAACTGTTAACGCTGCAACCAGCCTTATATTCCCAAACAAAACAAAGCGACCCCTCACATTTTGAGATGCAGACTAAAAGCAGTATGAATTTGGACAGTAAATAAGCAAATCACGAGCCATAACCGATGATGGGCCGTGCTAGAGTAGGTGACATTTAAAGCTCTGCAGGACTGCAGAATTTAACCTTCGCCAACCCCTCTAAAGCAGGCTTCCTCACACTTGGCCCTCCAGATGTTTTTGGCCTACAACTCCCATGATCCCTAACTAGCGGGATCAGTGTCAGGAATGATGGGAAATGTAGTCGCAAAACATCTGGAGGGCCGAGGTTGAGGAAGCCTAATCTAAAGGTTTCTGCATGTTTTCCAGTGCTGTGCTGGCTGATGGGACTTGTTGTCCAAAACATCTGGAGGGTGCCAGATCACATGATATTAGGCCAAGGGCCTGCATACAGCTCAGGATGTGGGCTACCCACTCCAGATACCCCTCATTCCAGTTAGGTGTAGCGGTAAGCTTGGCCATGAAGTTCACTGGGTGCCCTTGGGCCAGTTGCCAACACTCAGCCCAAACTACCTCACAGGGCTGTTGTGAAGATCATATGGAGCTGGGGGGGGGCAATGCATGGCACTCTGACCCCCTTGGAGTAAAGGTGGGATAGAAGATGCCATAGTAAAGGTAAAGGTACCCCTGCCCGTACGGGCCAGTCTTGACAGACTCTAGGGTTGTGCGCCCATCTCACTTAAGAGGCTGGGGGCCAGCGCTGTCTGGAGACACTTCCGGGTCACGTGGCCAGCGTGACAAAGCTGCATCTGGCGAGCCAGCGCAGCACACGGAACACCGTTTACCTTCCCGCCAGTAAGCGGTCCCTATTTATCTACTTGCACTTTAAGGGTGCTTTCGAACTGCTAGGTTGGCAGGTGCTGGGACCGAGCAACGGGAGCGCACCCCGCCGCGGGGATTCGAACTGCCGACCTTTTGATCGGCTAGCCCTAGGCACTGAGGCTTTTACCCACAGGGCCACCCGCGTCCCTTGTAGAAGATGCCATAATAAATAAATAAAATAAAATAATTTATTATTTATACCCCGCCCATCTGGCTGGGCTTCCTCAGCCACTCTGGGCATCTTCCAACAAAATATTAAAATAGAGTAATGCATCAAACATTAAAAGCTTCCCTAAACAGGGCTGCCTTCAGATGTCTTCTAAAAGTTTGGTAGTTGTTTTTCTCTTTGACATCTGGTGGGAGGGCGTTCCACAGGGTGGGTGCCACTACCGAGAAGGCCCTCTGCCTGGTTCCCTGTAACCTGGCTTCTCACAGCGAGGGAACCGCCAGAAGGCCCTCGGCACTGGACCTCAGTGTCCAGGCAGAACGATGGGGGTGGAGATGCTCCTTCAGATATACTGGACCAAGGCCGCTTAGGGCTTTAAAGGTCAGCACCAACACTTTGAATTGTGCTGGGAAATAAATAAGCAAGCAAGCAAATTGTGTATTTACGTTTGCACATCCATGTTATCTTTCTCTTTCTTTCTCTCTTTCAGGAAGTCGAGTTCTTCATTCTACAGAGAAGCCAGAGGTAACCTCGCTGCTCCCAGATCTTCTCTCCTTGCCGCACGACTTCCCTGCCCTCAGGTTAGAAAGGGCCCTTTCTACCACATACCTTGGGGAAAGGGATAGACAAAGGGTTCTTTACCGCATATGCATGCACTGGACCCCACTTGACGCCGGAGTTGTTGTTCCCAGCAGCTATACATCTGCAGTATCGAGTGTGATGCTGCAAATGATGGCACAGAGCAGATGTGGGGAGCCTTTGCCCCCCCCAGATGTGGCTGAGTTGCAGTGTCCATCATTCTTGGCCATTGGCCGTGCTTGCAGGGACTGAGTTGTATTTCAGCAACATGAACTACATATAAAACATGTATGGCTAACTTGCAACCCAAGTATAGCTCCCTAATTGATTTCTGGCCCTCATTCACACACAATAATTCAGCTGCTGTGCTGGCGACACACACACACACACACACACACACACACACACACACACACACACACACACAGTGGAACCTCACACCGTAAACCCAGAAGTAAATGCTTCCATTTTTGATAGCGCTTCGGAAATCGAACTTCCGAGGCGGCTTCCGTATTGGGTTTTTCGTGTTAATTTTTCTGTTTTGAGGCTTCCATATAGGGTTTTCGAATGTTTCGGAACTCAAATGGTCTTCTGGAATGGATTACGTTAGAAAACTGAGGTTCCACTGTACACACACACACACACACACACACACACACACACACACCAATCCTTTGTACAAAAGTTAAACTCACATTTGTTGCTCTGCCCACCAGGTTTGCTGTGTGAAATGTCGGACTGCTGTCTGTTGAGCACATGGCATATAAAAATAAAAATAGGCATTGCAATGTTTTTCATTGGGTAAGCATCTTCCCGTTTCTTGTGTTAACAGAGAATTCTGCATCATAAATCTTCCTCCTGTCTGAGGGTTTTATGCAGTTCCTAATCATACCCATTAACAAAAGCGGACCCAGGCTTTTTCCTTTTTTTTGTTTTTGTTTTTTTGTTTCGAAAATCACCTTAATAGTCTGTAGCTTTCCCCAGTGGAATAATTCTTGTTTCCTACAGTATGGTGCTGTGTATGGGCAACTTCCTAGGCTCCTCTCAGTAGACCGGGGGTCTGGGAAGATGATCAACTGGGCACCTTTCAAATTCTGGATTTGTCCATATGTGCCATTGCAGCTTTATGCCTTTTGCACATGCTCTGCAGCCCCTGTGTTGGTCCCATGGTCACTGCTAACTTTGGTGTAAACAGGCATGGCAGAGTCATCAGTACATCTGGACTGTGGGGGGGGGTGCAAATCTATCCTCTTCCCTTCAAAACTGCTGTATTGATTCACTGACTGACTCGCTTGGGTAGATCAGCATTCCTTTCATAGCTCTGCGGTTTGGAAGATCAAGATGTTGCTGCATCCCTTTTTATTGCCCCAAATTCTTTCTTGGCCTGGATTTTTAAAAAAAAAAAAATTAAGTGTGCAGGGTGAAATAGCTTCCTCCATGTGGGGATCACTTTCTGTCAGCCTAAACTCCCTCGCAGGGTTATTGTGAGGATAAAACAGGGAAGAACAATGTATACCCCTTGAGGTCCTATTGCCCACTGGAGGGATGTGAACATGAATGCAGAAGGAGAGGCCAACTTTTCCTCCTTGAAGATAAATTTAAAAATACCGCACTGAGAAGTCACATCGCTGCCTTTCCCCCACTTCTTCGTTTCAGGTCCGGGAAGGAATTCCCCGATCGCTGCGCCTCCAACATTGACGCTGTCACTCAGATCAGAGGTGAAACGTTCTTTTTCAAAGGTCTGTGGCGTTTTCTGTGACCTTGTTCTGTGAAGCCATTTCTTCCAGCAGTAGCTGAGTGGTATCAGAACATGCTTGCTTTGCATGCAAAAGAAGAAGAAGAAAGCCCCAAATTCAAAACCTGGCAATGTCAGGGCCGGCAGGAAAAGAATCCTGTATGAAATCTTCGAGAGCCAACCACAGTCAGCAAACTCTGGAGCGGCCAATGTGATGTTGCTGGACTCCGGTGCCCAACAGCCCCAATGAGTATGGCATTTGAAGGGACGCGGGTGGCGCTGTGGGTTAAACCACAGAGCCTAGGACTTGCTGATCAGAAGGTCAGCGGTTTGAATCCCTGCAACGGGGTGAGCTCCCGTTGCTCGGTCCCTGCTCCTGCTAACCTAGCAGTTCGAAAGCACGTCAAAGTGCAAGTAGATAAATAGGTAAAGCTCCGGCGGGAAGGTAAACGGCGTTTCTGTGAGCTGCTCTGGTGCGTCAGAAGCGGCTTAGTCATGCTGGCCACATGACCCGGAAGCTGTACCCCAGCTCCCTTGGCCAATAAAGCGAGATGAGCACCGCAACCCCAGAGTCGGCCACGACTGGACCTAATGGTCAGGGGTCCCTTTACCTTTATATAGTCAGGAATAATTGGAGCTGCAGCCCAGCCACAGGGGTCCAATCCATTGTCCTGTAACCAGATTCCAAAACAGTGTCTAGTCCAAAGTGATGCATGTTGGGGCAACTTTTAAAAAAATAAAAAAATCCCACAGGACCTGCAGCCAAACTAAGCTCATTGTAGCTCACATGCACCACCCTGCCCCCGTGATTGAGCCCCCCCATGGCGTGCTGATGTCACTTGTGCACATCACAAGGGATGTGGGTGGTGCTGTGGTCCAAACCACTTAGCCTCTTGGGCTTGCCGATCAGAAGGTTGGCGGTTCAAATCCCTGCGACAGAGTGAGCTCCCGTTGCTCTGTCCCAGCTCCTGCCAACCTAGCAGTTCGAAAGCACACCAGTGCAAGTAGATAAATAGGTACCACTGTGGCGGGAAGGTAAATGGCGTTTCTGTGCGCTCTGGCTTCCGTCATGGTGTCTCGTTGCATCAGAAGTGGTTTAGTCATGCTGGCCACATGACCCGGAAAACTGTCTGTGGACAAATGCCGGCTCCCTCGGCCTGAAAGCGAGATGAGCGCCACAACCCCATAGTTGCCTTTGACTGGACTTAACTGCCCAGGGGTCCTTTACATTTACCTTACCTACTTGTGCACACTATGGGGCAGGCATGCTCCTGTGTTGCACGGGTGCTCCATAGCTTGCGTGCATGATGTGAGCATGCCCTGTGCCATGTGTGTATGGCTGCTGTGGAACTTTGAGGGGGCCTGGCCCCTTCAATGAATTTTATTTTTGGGGGTTCTGCCCCATCTCTTACTTGGCATGCCTTTTGCAACTTCTGGGAGCGTGTGACCAATAGCTCAACAACAGGCCTTGCAAATGGGCCCTTCCAGCTCTACGATTCTATGATATGGAGGGCATCTTTTATGGCTACCCCAGAGATAGGCGGAACTAAGCTAAATGGACCAATGTATGCAAGGTGCATTCTGATGCTCCTGCTCTTTATGAAAAACATGGATGGGTCGTGCCTTTCCTTGCCCTGGGCACATCGAATCATCGAGTTGGAACAAGAGACTCTTCTCCCAGTAAGGATGTGTACTGTATGTCATGTAATTCTACTCAATATGATCCAGAGCAGAACTCCAACATATAGTTAGCAGAGTAAAAACTTAAACACGTTGCATGACCAGAGGCAGTTGTATTTCATCCAGCCGAGCTTTACTGCTACTGAAGGCAAATGAACATAATGGTCACAAATCCAATACATTCAGGATTGGCACTGTCCGTAAGAAGTCCAGTTGCAGCAGACTTACCTTAAACGTAAATAACTTATAAGAAGACTAAAACTTAACACTAAGCATACTATATGCAGAACACCACACCAGAAAGGCAAAGAGATAGAAAGAGAAAAGTGAAAACAGGGCTCCTTCTGGCCTTACTATTATAGTCAGCATGACTTAGACCAGCCTTTTTCAACCTGTGGGTCCCCAGATGTTGGACTACAACTCCCATCACCCCTAGCTAGCAAGGCCAGAGCTCAGGGGTGATGGGAGTTTTAGTCCAACAATATCTGGGAGCCCACAGGTTGAGAACCGCTGACTAGACAGAAGAGATAACTGGCAGAAGAGATAGCCTGTGGTACTCAGCTTCTCTGAAGGAATAACCCAAACATCATGAACCTTCTGCTTGTTCTGCTGTTCCAGAACCCTCTTGAATTAATTAGAATAGGAAAAATCTCTACACATCAGATCAATACTTTCTGTACTAAGAAATGCAAACTCACGGTGTGTTGTGTCTGAGGAAATCCTAGCTGCTCTCTCGCAATCTGTAGCAGTGAGAATGGTGTGTGTTTATGACAGAGTGCTTGGAATAGTGGTAGGTCAGCTCGCAACATTCTGTCATGTTGCAGAGTGACCAAGAGATATCAAGTTGCTTCTCCTAGCTGGGATGTGACGTTGTATTTTTCCTACCCCCCCCCCACCACCATATGGCAGGTCAGTACTTCTGGCGCCTGACTCAAGGTCGTCACCTCACTTCTCTGCGCCCAGCCTTGATCAGCGGCTTCTGGCGAGGCCTCCCTTCCACGCTCCGCAAAGTAGATGCCGTTTATGAGAGACACATAGATCATCGCATCCTCTTCTTCAGCGGTAAGGGGTGGGTGTTCCTGTGTGCGAGGCAACTGGGCTGGCTTGCATAAGAAAGTCCAAACTAGGTCCATCTCCTAGAGATTATAATTCTTTGAAGGAGAACCACCTGAACATGATTGACAGATGGTATTTGACTCTGGAGTAGGCTTGCTAAGATTTACAAGACAGAATCAGATTAAGTGCTGGAGGTGTAGAGAGGTGGAGGGAACATTCCTTCATATGTGGTGGACGTGTAAAAGGGTAAAAGAGTATTGGGAAATGATTTATAATGAATTGAGAAAATTTTTTAAAAGTACTATCTCAAAAAAACCCCAGAGTCCTTTCTGCTGGGGATAGCTCAGACTGAAATTCCCAGGTGTCAGAAAAGATTACAGTGGTACCTCGGGTTAAGTACTTAATTCGTTCTGGAGGTCCGTTCTTAACCTGAAACTGTTCTTAACCTGAAGCACCACTTTAGCTAATGGGGCCTCCTCCTGCTGCTGCGTTGCTGCCGCACGATTTTTGTTCTCATCCTGAAGCAATGTTCTTAACCCGAGGTACTATTTCTGGGTTAGCAGATTCTGTAACCTGAAGCATTTGTAACCCAAGGTACCACTGTATTTATGTATGCAACAACTGCGGCCCGTGTTTTGTTATCCCCAAAATGAGCAAGGTCCCAACCAAAGAAGATTGGCAAATTAAGTTGACAGAATATGCACAACTTGCAAACTTAACATATAGAGTAAGAGACCAAGAAGAACATACATTTAGAGAAGATTGGAAAAGGTTTATTGCATATGTGGAAAAAAATTGTGTATAGCTGAAAACGCTGGTAGCATTAAGATAAATTCAACAGTGTAAATAAGTTTTGAGGGACGCAATAATGGAAAACCAATTGGTATAGTTTTTGTAAAATATGCAGGGATATGAGATATGTAAAATGATCAATGGAAAGAGAAGAAGGGAAGTCATTGATGTCGTAAGATGTAAAATATTTATCTGAAATTGTAAAACAGAAAATTTAATAAAAATCATTAAAAAAAATCAGCTAGGTCTATCTCACATCCTGTTTCCAACTGATGCGAGCTGAATTTGCTATAATAAAATTGTTAGTTTTTGAGGCACTACAACTTGTTGTGTTTGCTGGGACATTCAAGAAAATTTTATTTATGTATTCCCTTTACATCCCATGATTTCGTCAAGCAGCTCAAGGGGCTGCATGTGGTTCTCCCTCTCTCCATCCTCACAACAACCTTGTGAGGTAGGTTAGGTTGAAAGAGATGGACTGGCCCAAACTCACTCCATGAGCTTCATGGGTAGGTGGGGATTTGAGCCCTTGTCCCCTAGCCACTACACAACACTGCCTTGCTATTGATGTCCTCTCTTTCTCTCCCCTGCTCAAGGACCTCTGTACTGGGTATTTAAGGACAACGGTGTGGAAGAGGGCTACCCCCGCCCTGTCACAGACTTTGGGCTGCCCCAGGGGGGCATCGATGGTGCTTTCTCGTGGCCTGTTGACAGGAAAACCTATTTCTTCAAGGGAGATCTGCACTGGTGCTATGATGAAGCCACAGCGCACATGGAAGAAGGATTCCCCGTCCACAGAGAACCCTGGGAACACTTCCCCGCCTCCGTAGATGCTGTGCTGAGTGAGAACGATGGTGAGCTTGTACTTAATTTATATATATACCGTACTTTTCCGTGTATAAGATTAGGTTTTTTTCTTTTAAAATTATGCTAAAAAGTGGGGAGGCCGTCTTAAACATAGTGTGGGTGTTTGATTGCTTGCTGCCATGGCTGTCAGCGGATATTGTGCATGTTATTGGTTGCTGCGTCAATGGCTGGTGTTGCTTGGCTGATGCTGCAGCAATTGGGCGGGTGATTGGCAGCTTTTGCTGGCGATGGGACAGATGAGAGGCGGATTTTGCAACGCATGCAGGGAAGCGATTTTCAGCAATCCTCCCCAAAAGAAGCTCAACAACTCTGTGCCATCTCCCCCCATTTTCTTAAATTTGAGTCTCCCAAAATAGGGGGTGTCTTATGCATGGGGGCATCTTATACATGGGAAAATACGGTAATTTTTATTAATTTTTCTGTTTTACAATTTAGAATACTCATTTAAACATCCTTAAAATATCAATGACTTCCCTTCTTCTCTTTCCATGGTTCATTCTGCATAATCACAAATCCCTGCATATTTTACATAAACTAAACCATTCAGTATTCCATTATTACATCCACCAAAGCTTATTTACACTGTTGAATTTATCTTAATGCTCCCAAGTTTTTCAAGTGTGCACAAATTCCCCCCATATATTCAATAAACATTTTCCAGTCTTCTCTAAATGTATGTTCTTCTTGTTCTCTTATTCTATATGTTAAGTCTGCAAGCTGCGCATAGTCCGTCAGCTTAAGTTGCCATTCTTCTTTAGTTTGGACCTTGCCTGTTTTCCATTTTGGGGCTAAGAAAACATGGGCTGCAGCAGTGGCATACATTAACAACCTTTTTTGACACCTGGGAATTTCAGTCTGTATTATCCCCAACAGAAAGGACTCTGGGTGTGTGTTTTTTGGAAAGTACTAGCTTGTACTTAATTTTTCTCTGCATTTCGCTGGAGTTGCCTGCAGTCCTGTCTAGTGGCTCCCAAATGTGGAAACACGTTCCGATAATAATGCAATAGCATTGTCAAAGCAGCGCAGAACAACTAAGGAAGTGGAATGATCAATCCGCCGCTAATGCGTTATTATCGCCTCAATGACATGTTGCAGAATAAAAGCTAAAGGTGAAGGGACCCCTGACCATTAGGTCCAGTAGTGACTGACTCTGGGGTTGCAGCGCTCATCTCGCTTTATTGGCCGAGGGAGCCAGCGTACAGCTTCTGGGTCATGTGGCCAGCATGACTAAGCCACTTCTGGCAAACCAGAGCAGCGCACGGAAACGCTGTTTACCTTCCCGCCGGAGTGGTACCTATTTATCTACTTGCACTTTGACGTGCTTTCGAACTGCTAGGTTGGCAGGAGCCGGGACCAAGCAATGGGAGCTCACCCTGTCGCGGGGATTTGAACCGCCGACCTTTTGATCGGCAAGTCCTAGGCTCTGTGGTTTAACCCACAGTGCTACCCGTGTCCCTATGTTGCAGAATACAACCCACAAAAAACAGAAACCCTGTCTGGCGGCACCCTTTGTCCTGTCCTCTTAAATATCCCGCTTATTTGTTGCTGATGCTCCTTTTTGTCTTGTTGCAGGAACACTGTATGCCTTTAAGGGCAGGGAGTACTGGAAGTTTGAGCCACACAACCTCAAGCCCCAGACTGGCTACCCTCGATCCATAGCTAAGGACTGGCTGGATTGCACAGGAGAACTGTACCCTCCCCGGAGCCTGCCTACCAGCCCTGCATCAGGAGCCGAACACCGGCCGGATTTGCGGGGTCCTCAGCTCGAGGTGGAACGATGTGTGTGCTTTTGCTCTGCCTTTCGTGTGATGTCGTGGGGCTTGCTCAGCTGCCTGGTGGTGGCTCTCCTGGCACTGCAAGGATTTGCCTAGGAAGGACACAGAACCTTGCCTGGCCATCACTTTGCTCCACAAGGATCCTCGGCAGCACCAACCCCAATTGCCACATTGCACGTCCGTGGGAGGGAAGGAAAAGAATATGAAGAAAGAGAGGAAAGGGAGAGACATCCCCAGGGAAGCACGATGCGGGGAAGCAACTTGGATGCAAGGATGAGATCGCAGTCCTTCAGTGATAGGGGCAGCGGCTCTGCCTATGGTTAAAGGAAATTCTTCAAACGGGAATCCTTTGGTGCAAATGCAACAGGAAAGGGGACACAATGCAAAAGGTTTTTCAGGATCCGGGAGCATCCTATGTGGAACGCCTGCAGTGTTGACATCTGTCTGTCTCGAGAGACAGCGGAGTGCGCTTCCAGGGTGAAGTCAAACCACTATGTTAGCAGCACTGAAGTCAGGGCACAAGTCAGGGCAGTATGTATGGAGGTCCTGGGCTGTCCCAGACGAGAAGGCCCACCCCGCCACCCTCACTGATGTGGTCCAAAGGAAAGCAGGGCAATATGTTGGGCACCAGTTTGGCTGCAGGAGTTGCCAAAAGGAGACACGCAAGGCGCCATGCAGCCATCTTTGGGACTCCACTCTGTAATTGTGTAGGGTTTACTCTTGAGCCTTTTTTCCCCTCCCAAAGATGTCCCCCAAGGCAGTGGAGGTTTAGGAACAGAGTTCTCCTAGATGGGCTACCTTCCCAGGTTGACCCCTGTAGACTGTCAATATTTTGCTGGGGACGGGGATTCAAGAGCATAACTGGGAAATTTAAGTTTGCTCAAATAAACTGGATTAAAGTTTGCTCTGTTGCCTGTCTGCAACATATCCGCTTTAAAACAACACATCAAAGCAGTTTGGAAAGCAGTTGGGAAAGGGGGGTGAAAAAATAATTAATGGGAAGACTTTTAAACATCCCATGAACAAAACGGGGTGAATACAGGGTGAATGCTTATTGACATATTAACGCCCCATAAACAAATCAGAACAAATACTCAATAAAGATTGGCTATAGAAGCTTTGTGAAAGCAAACCAGGTTGTGTGGAGGAGCCCTTAGAGCTTGAAGATGACCACCCCTAGCTAGTCTTTCGCAGAATTTTTTTGTATGTCAAAAGGCAAAAAGGTGGCCTCCTTCTGTGATGATGCCTTCGCCCCCAAGCGCTTCACTGTGAGCCACTGGCACCAGGGACAGAATTTGTTGTTTTGGAAAGGAAACCATGAGTCACTTTTCACTCCAAGGAGCAGCTCGTAGGCAGCCTCTTCCTGTGGTTGGGCCATTAGCGCAGCTGTGGAATGATTCAGAACCGCTTGCCGGGGCCTGCCGGGATGACTGACAAAGCGTCATTGTAGGCTGAAAACCACAGGAACTCTGTTGAAAAGAATAGGGCTGCCTAAGGCGAGGAGGGGTGAGGGGAGTGTGTGTGCAGGATTTGCTGTTTTTGAAACAGGAATCCCACAGGGAAGGAAGGCCATTCAGCACCCGAGTCACTAGGCATTCCGGACTCTGTTGTAAATTGAGACTTTTAAGAGCTGCTTTTAAGAGGATGTAGATCTGGTGTCCAATCCCCTGCACCTGAAACTCACAGAGACCTGTTCTCTGTAGATACCCCCAGCTTGCCCGTTGCTCACCTTTCTTGTACAGTGGTACCTCGGGTTACAGACACTTCAGGTTACAGACACTTCAGGTTACAGATGCTTCAGGTTACAGACTCCGCTAACCCAGAAATAGTACCTCGGGTTAAGAACTTTGCTTCAGGATGAGAACAGAAATCGCGCGGCGGCAGCGCAGTGGCAGCGGGAAACCCCATTAGCTAAAGTGGTACCTCAGGTTAAGAACAGTTTCAGGTTAGGAACGGACCTCCAGAACGAATTAAGTCCTTAATCCGAGGTACCGCTGTATTGGATGGGCAATAGGGGCACCTAACCCAGATTCCGCCTTGCCAGAGGGACAAAATGGGCACGAAGAGCCTTGGGCATTTATCGGCAGTAATTAAAATTAATATCAAATCATGTCATTGTGGGGTTTGTTTGTTTGTTTGGTTATTGTTCATTTCAGTTCAGGAACAATCTAAGCCTGTTTTCATGGTATTTTATGAAAAAACATTTGACACTCCTGGAAAGCAGAAGGGGTGGGGTGAGGGGAAACAACCTCAGGACATTAGTGTGAATTTCTGCTATTTTTGTATGCCTTTTTACCTAATATGCACAGTTTAGCAAAGCGATTTCCCCCAACGCCATTCATTTTGTATGCTGTCCTCATACACTTCCCCTGACTATATTCTTGTACACATTATTTGTCTGGACGGCTGCGTTGCAAAATTCAGAGAAGGGCAACTTTTGAAGGCTTGCCATGTTTCAGTTCCTACATTGCTTCAGGAAGTGTGGGTTAGAATGATTCACCCTCAAATGCAAAGTGAAATAAAATTTTCCCCCATTCCCAGCAGAGTCAGACCATTGCCCCAATATTATTTACTCTGACCAGCAGATGCTCTCCAGGGTCTTGGGCAAGTGGAGGTCTTTCACTTCTCCTTCAGAAGAGATGCCAGGCACTGAACATGGGAAGGTCTGCATGCAGAGCATGTGTCCGGTCACCAAGCAACAACCCTTCCCCCTTTTCTGTGCCTGGAATGCTGTGAATGAGCGAAAACATAACCAGTCCAAAGAAGAAGGTTAGGCCACAGTGGCTCCATTTTAATAAGGCATAATGGTCGATAACAGGATATGTAAGGCACATGCACCAAATATTTCCGGCTCATGATGTCGACTCAGTTTCACTTCCAGTTTACGAAAAATTGTTTGAAGAGAGGGCTTTCACGGCCTTGGGGCAAGATTTCCACCTGGAAACAGGATAAAGGTGCGTGAGAAAAGGACACCCATGGCAGGCACCCATCTATTATGGGTCTCCCACTCCTTCATCCCTGAACACTGGCCATACTGGCTGGGGCTGATGGGAGCTGGAGTTCGAAACATCTGGAGGGTACCAAGTTGGATAGCCCTGGTGTAATGGTACACATAGGGACGCGGGTGGCGCTGTGGTTTAACCACAGAGCCTAGGACTTGCTGATCAGAAGGTCGGCGGTTTGAATTCCCACGACGGGGTGAGCTCCCGTTGCTCGGTCCCTGCTCCTGCCAACCCATTAGTTTGAAAGCACATCAAAGTGCAAGTAGATAAATAGGTACCGCTCCAGCGGGAAGGTAAACGGCGTTTCCGTGCGCTGCTCTGCTTCACCAGAAGCAGCTTCGTCATGCTGGCCACATGACCCGGAAGCTGTACGCCGGCTCCCTCGGCCAATAAAGCGAGATGAGCGCCGCAACCCCAGAGTCGGCCACGACTGGACCTAACGGTCAGGGGTCCCCTTACCTTTAATGGTACACAAGCATTAGCTTTATTCCAAACCCTCCCCTCTTTTCCCCAGCAATGCCAAGAAATGGGCCAAGCTGGTTCTAGGTTTGAGGGGGCCAGGGCAAGTTGCCCTCTGCTGGGCTCCCTCCTCTGGCTCTGGGCCCTGGCAGTTTTACCTTGTTGCAGTGGACAGCTGCAACGCTCTAAGCAGTGCCAACTTGTGGCATCTTGCAGCTATTTATATTTCCCGCAATGCCTCTTCTGTAGCCTCTAATATTATGAGAGAAAGCTCTTTCTCTTTCTATACCCATTCTCTCTACATTACGGATGATTTCCTCAGCCTCTATTATGTCTACTGCCTACACCAGATTTTCCCAACCAGGTTCCTTCCAGACATTTTGGACCACCACTCTCATGGGCCCACGTGATTTCCAGATAAGGCTGCATCACAGAATTGTATCAAAACATTGTGGCGCTAGGCATCTTTTCCCTCTTCAGTTTCAGTAAGAGTCTCTCTCATGCTGTTTGACCTTTTCACTGCCAGTGCACAGTGAGTTGATGTTTTCATTGGGCTAACCCAGCACAAACTCAAGATTTTATTTTCTGGTTAATCCTCACCAACTCAGCCAACATGACTGTATATGTGAAATGATGGTGTTTTTCAAGCATCCTTTTCAAGCATGGCATCCTTGGGCAGCTGCCAGGGTCCTGGGACGGTCCACTACTGAAGCCTGCTCTAGGATCACCACTTAAAAAAAATATTTAAAATCTGACCTGGCACTGTACACATTGCCAGTCAACTGTGTATAGGTGCCATTTCCCACAATACTTTACGGACACAGCATATCAGTGCCTACCATAGCTGTCAACCTTTCCCCTTTTTTAAGGGAAATTCCCTTATTCCGAATAGGATTCCTTGCAAGAAAAGGCAAAAGTTGACAGCTATGGTGCCTATCAGCCTTGGAAGCTAAAAGCAATCTTCATTTCTAAAAGGCCAAAAGGCTGCCTCCATGGGAGAAAGGAAAAGTAGGGCTTGTTCCATCAGCTCTGCTGAAAGACAAGCTCCATCAGGCACCTCCTGCCCCTGAGCTGTTTCTATGCCCACTGGTGATTATAATAGCTACTCTTCAAAAACTGGTGCCTGGGTTTGCTTTTTTCCTCTTCCCTCCCTGTCCCCTTTCCCTTGTGTGTCACATTTTTTTTTAGACTGCCTGCAGGCAGGAACTTTCTCGTTTTAATTGGCTGTATGTAAGCAGAACTGAGAGCCTTTTTGGCTTTAGAGTGCGCTAAAGGTAAAGGTAAAGGGAACCCTGACCATTAGGTCCAGTCGTGACCGACTCTGGGGTTGCGCGCTCATCTTGCTCTATAGGCTGAGGGAGCCGGCGTTTGTCCAGAGACAGCTTCCGGTTCATGTGGCCAGCATGACTAAGCCACTTCTGGCGAACCAGAGCAGCACACAGAAATGCCGTTTACCTTCCCGCCGGAGTGGTCCGTATTTATCTACTTGCACATGACGTGCTTTCAAACTGCTAGGTTGGCAGGAGCAGGGACCGAGTAACGGGAGCTCACCCCGTCATGGGGATTCGAACCGCCGACCTTCTGATCGGCAAGTCCTGGGGGGGGGGAAGGGGGGTCTTCACCTGAAGCACATTGCATGTTTGTTTCCCCACACCTGCAACCCCCCCCACAGCTCCTCTTCACAAAGATGTCGCCTGCATACATGCAAAAGCTGTCTCAAATGTGCACACCTCAAGCTTAACGATGGCTTTCGTTTTCAAATCAGATAGAAGGAGGTTTGAGGGTAAATGCATCCAGCAGCAGCATTCCTCAATAAACTACAGGATAGATGTGGGTTGTGACTAACATCATGTGTGCGTGGCCTCAAATGTCCGTGGTGGGAGCGCACTGGAATCAGAGTAAATGGCAATGAAATTGCCATTCATTGCCTAAGTTTGGGGATATTTCCTTCATTTAGTAGAGCCTTCTGGAAACTTTGATAAGGCTGCACAGCCTCTGCTTGCTTACCTGTGTGTTCAGGGGATACTTCATCTGAGTGATGAAGTCCTCAGCTACCTTCAGGGCTGCCTGTTGTTCTTGCTCATTTGCTCGGAGGCCTTTTTGAGGAAAGATGGAAAAGGACAGGTCAGAAGAGCTGAGGGAGAGCATGTCTAATGCTGAGCAAGCAGAGAAGAGCTGGTGTTTACTGGGAAGGATGGGGGGACTAATATTCTTAGGAAGAAAGAAAACCTTCTCCTAAATCTGAACCATCTGTCATTAAACCATCATGGCTTCCTCCAAAGACTTCTAGGAACTGTGGTTTGTTAAGGGTGTTGTGAATTGTTAGGAGACCCCTTTCCGACTCACAGAGTCCCAACACCAGGTGTTGAGGCTGTTCTCACAGCAGTGTGTTGCATGTCTCACCTTTCCAAACGTAGATTTTCCCACATAGCCCATTGTCCAGGATGAAACAATCATCTGTGATGAGCTGGTCCTGATGGAATGGACTGGACTCTGAGACCTTAGTCAGGCTCATTTTCCCCGTCATGTCTGATACCTGGGAGATGAGAAGAAAAGAGGAGCAAATGCCTTCGTTGACATCAGACCATTCATGTGTGGCAGAACTTCGAGATGGTTGGACCTACTTTGTTTATTACTGGAACCCTAGGATCCACCAAACAGAGCAAAGTGCCCAATGGCAGCTGGAATGGTGGTGGAGCTAGATACAAAATGGCAGCTGGGAAGTAATGGGATAGCCAGAGCAACAGCTGACTGACACGTTGTCATTAGATAGCATTCCAGACTCTCCGTCTCCCAGCGAGCCTTAAAAGTAGGAGAGCAAAGAGCTCAAAGACAGAGGGCAGGTAGCAGCACCCATAGAGGAGATGACGAGAATGATGAATGAGGAAGTGGGAAAGACGGGGGGGGGGGGGAGAGATTCACTTGGGACAACGCCGTTATCCAAGAGGCTGGGTTCTATAGCCTCTCTCTGTAAAGTTTGAAATAAAAAAGGACAGTAAGAAACTTTCCCTTGTCTTTATACTTTCCTGGGCAACTATCCAGGATCTGCTAACAGCAGCCTGACAGGTTGTTACCTTATAAAGTACAGCGGCAATTGCATTTTTCCGATCAGCCATGACATCTTCCTCTGGACTGCCCTCTTTCAGAGCTGGTTTAGGACCCAGGACCTAGAAAAAGACAGCGGCAGGTAATGCTGATACCCAGCTTCCAGACGTTTCATTTCTGGGCTCAGAACCCCACCTCTGTGCTTTGCTTGACAATTACAAAAGGATGAGTCGCAGTGGCAGAGAGGTGGTCTTCTGTTCAATCCCTAGCAGGAGAGAAGGAGGGGTGGGATCCTGGAGACAGTACTAAACTAGATGGACCAATGGGCTGATCTAGTATAAGGCAGCTTCCTAAAGTTGGGGAGAACATTGTTTGCACACAGAAGGTTCGGGTCCAATCCACTGCATCTCTAGTGTTGTTGTTTGTGAAGGATCCAACTCCCATCAGCCCCAACAAAGCATTGCCAATGAGGAGGAATGATGAGAGTTGTAAATCAAACATATCTGGAGGGCCACCAGCTCCCCACCCATGAAATAGCAGATAATAAGAAAGGCCCTGCTCTGCTTCAGATGTTGGAAAGATGCTACCAGCCAAAGTAGACAATATTGAGCTGGGTGGACAGACAAAGCAGCTTCTTATCTCCTTTGTCCACACATGAAGGTCATTGCCAGATGTTGCAGTGATGAGGTGTTCAATAGACTCTTAGGGTACCTCAATACCTGTTTGGTGCGCCCTGTTGGGAGACCACTTCCTTGATCCTTTCAATATGAAATTAAGAAGCCAAAACACAACCCATATCTCAGACCCTCCTCTGGCAGGGGCTTTTATGTCCCACCAAACCAAGACAGGTCCCAGCTCCAGCTTGATGCCGAGAACTTAGTCAATGCCCATCTGCTTCCTAGACACCAACCCACAGCTTCCCCAAAACGTTTGCCTCTCTTGCAAGGAACTTACCGCTATCATCTCAGCCGGCTCTTCGCCATCTGCTATTATCTCCACTTTGGCTTTCCCCTTCCTCTCGCTATCCCGAATTGCCGTTGCTAAATCCCGGGCTTTGTTGCGCTCTAGGATGTTGGATTTGCTGCCACACCAAGTGAAGATGTTCTGAAAGGAGAGGCCAAGAGGAGAAACCTTCTCAATCTATGTGCGGCCAGAACACCTTGCCCCACGTCCACCCCACATAAATAAATAAATACATAAATAAAAATTATATCCCACCCTCCCCAGCCAAAGCCAGGCTAACAACAGCAAAATAATACAGCATTCTAAAATCAATTCATTATAAAATCAGTTCAAATCAAATTGATGGCAACCATTGGGCTAGAGTTCTGTGAGGATTACCAAAGGAGGGGGTCAGGCTGTGCCCTGGCCAAAGGCCTGGTGGAACAGCTCTGTCTTGCAGGCCCTGCGGAAAGATGTCAAGTCCCGCAGGGCCCTAGTCTCTTGTGACAGAGCATTCCACCAGATCGGGGCCACAGTCAAAAAAGCCCTGGCCAGCCTAACCTCTCTGTGGCCCGGGACCTCCAAGATGTTTTTGTTTGAAGACCATAAGGTCCTCCGTGGGACATACCAGGAGAGGTGGTCCCGTAGGTACGAGGGTCCTAGGCCATATAGGACTTTAAAGGTTAATACCAGCACCTTAAACCTGATCCTGTACTCCACCAGGAGCCAGTGCAGCTGGTATAGCACCGGGTGAATGTGATCTCGCAGCGAGGACCCCGTAAAGAGTCTCGCCGCGGCATTCTGTACCTGCTGGAGTTTTTGGGTCAGTCTCAAGGGCAGCCCCACGTAGAGCGAGTTACAATAATCCAGTCTGGAGGTGACCGTCGCGTGGATCACAGTGGCTAGGTCAGGGCAAGAGAGGTAAGGAGCCAACTGCTTAGCTTGGCGGAGGTGAAAAAATGCCGCCTTTGTTATAGCTGCAATCTGCGCCTCCATGGAAAGGGAGGTGTCGAAGATTACACCCAGACTCTTAATGGACATCCAGAACACCCACTGTGATCCTACACAAAGGAGCACATTTCTTTCCGCCCAGTGTTCAGAGTTGTGCACTCTCCCAACTAAAGATGTTTGAGAATTCTGTTGGAAATGGAAACAGGAGCGAGACTTGCTGCAATTCTCATTTTTGTCAGGGGTCAGTAATGAAAATGACCCAAGCGAGTAGGAGCATATGCTGTCATTTTCTTAGTTTGTAAACATCATATAAATAATTACATTGTTTTCTGTATTGTCTTTGATGCTTCCCTTCCACTGAAATTGATTTATGCTATTAATTGCATCAGTTTCAGATATAGCAAATAGCTAGACAGACTATGTAGGTCTTAGGGGAAGCTGAATTGCAGTGGAAAGTGCGCTGACATCGATGAACACAGAACTGGGATGCAAAGAGCTGTCTCCTTCCATCCCTATTCACAGGGCATTAGCAGAACATGCTAGCCCATATTCCAAACTTGTATGTTCCCCCCCACTTCCCCACAGCACCATCAATGTTATGTACTGAAGTTCTCACCCTGGGCCAGCAGGGGGATACTGTAGATAGTTATGCAAATAAGGGATTGAAAGTGACGTTCAGTGATTGGATAGTTTTAGAAAATTGTTACAGTTACATTGTACTGGAGCTCTGTATAAGCAGGCTGACTGAACCCTTCAGTTCAGTTCTGTCCTGGCCTGTGAATAAACAAGAGCTGTTTGAAGAATCGCTGTGTTGTCTGATATGTTCACCCACAACTTAACAATCAACATTGTCCATGATGGAGGCAATAATGTTTCTGAAAACCAGTTGCTGGAAACTGCAGGAGGAGAGATTGTTCTTACACACCGGTCCATCTTGTGGGTTTGCCAGGGGCATTTGGGTGGCCACTGTGAGAACAGGATGCTGGACTAGATGGGCCACTGGCCTGATCCAGCAGGATCCTCTTATCCTCTTAACATTATATAATTTATGTGCTGCTGAAATGCCAAAATAGTGGTTTGTGTGCGAAAAACAAATGGAGCAAACATTAAGAGATAAGCAACCGAATTTAACACCCACCCACACACTCACACCCCATGAAAATGTTAAAACATAAACGTTTGTAATTAAAATACAGTGGTACCTTGGGTTACAAACAGTCCTACTTTCGAACGCTTCGATTACAAACTGGGCAAATAACTATTATTATTATTATTATTATTATTATTATTATTATTAATTTTTTATTTATATCCTGCCCTCCCCAGCCGAAGCCAGGCTCAGAGCAGCTAACAACAATAAAAGTAACACAATTTACATAAAATCACAATCAATTAATTGAAATGCATTCTAAAATCAACTCATTCTAAAATCAATTCATAGTAGGTGCTCAGGGTTGCGAACTTTGCCCCAGGATACAAACGTAATCTCCTTCCGGGGCCACGGGAGGCCTATGTAGGGAATGCATGTTGCGGGTTAAGAACCCTTCAGGTTAAGAATGACTTCCGGAACGAATTAACCCGAGGTACCACTGTATGCAAAAAACCCCACCAAAACCACACATTAAAAACAACACAGCAATTATAAATAGGAGACACAGGTCGAGAGAGGCTTCCCCTCCTCCTCTTTTCGGGCTCACCTCTCCTAGATCCAGGATGAAGCAGTCGCCGGTGTTAAAACTAGCCCAGCTCAGTTCTTTTTCAGTGGCCCGGATATTCTTTTTCCCCTTCACCTGGTAGAGTTTGCGGATGGGGCTGGGTTGCTGGCTGGCCTGGGTTCTGTTAAAGGCCGATTCCACACCTCCTTCCTGTGGAGCACAGACAAAAGAGGTTTGAGGTCTACAAGGAAGCAGGAGGATGCTGGAGTTTGTGGTGGTGAAGGGGATAGGTTCCTTGAGATAAGCTGTTTATTTGTTTATCACGAGAGGCAGTGACTGGTCCGAAGTCACCCAGGGAGCAAGCAGGGATCCAAACCCTCGTCTCCAAGGTCCAACACTCTACTACACCACGCTATTTTATGTCTTTTAAATTCCAAATTATCTAATGCCACATTCTAGCCTTTTTAAAGAGGCAATTTCTGAGTCGTTTACAGGTGGCACTGCTGTTACACTATTCCATCCACCCTGAATTTGGCAGATTTGGCTAGAATAAGGGTACTGCTTTCCATAGTTTTGTACGTTGTGGTTTTTGTGAAATTACTAGACCACAGAAGAAGACCAGTTCCTGGTCAAAATGCATTGGTTGTTTGTCATTTCTTCTAGAGAAGTGTTTCCCAATGCTGGGTCTTCAGCTGTTTTTGGACTACAACTCCCATCATCCCTAGCTAGCAAGACTGGTAGTCAGGGACGATGGGAATTGTAGTCTGAAAAACAGCTGAAGACCCAAGGTTGGGAAACATTGCTCGAGAGCAGCCTTTGCCCTCTTGGACCCCTCCAGGTGTTTGGACTTGAAATATGCTCTGAGTCGAGTGTGGATTTCATGCTCTTTATTCAGCTCATAGTAGTGAGGAATGAATGTTCCCCCAAAATATCTGCTTTATATACATTATTTACACAATGGGCCGCACGTGATTGGCTAATTCTGGGATTTTCCTGTAGGCCAATCAGGTTGCGGATTCACTTCTACCTGGAGCTGGATTGGGTGGCTCCTGCAGACCAATCATACTGCTGCATTGTTCTAGGACCAATCAGACTGCTGCCTTTTGGATCCTACTCAACTCAGTACATAACAGGACTACAACTCCCGTCAGCCCCAGCCAGTGTAGGGAGTTGTAGTCTGAAACATCTGGATGGTGCCAGGGTGGCAAAAGGCTGCTGTAGACACACAAGAAGCTGCTTGCTTTTAAGGTTTGCGATTGTAAGCTTTGTCATATGAGTTTGTGCGGTGTTTGTGAAATTCGTTATTTACTTATTTTGATTTCGCACACCCAGTGCTCCCCCCGGGGGCACTCAAGGCTATGCAGTACTGGCACATTTCCCCCCCTGGAAGAAAAGCACTGCGCACACCCAAACTTTTCTGTTTCTCTTGAGCATCTTTATAGTCTGCCTGCCCTCCAAAGATGTCAAGGTGGCAGATGTGGGTTTCTTACCCTCCTCATTTCATCCTCACAACATCCCTGGGAGGTAGGTTAGACTGAATTACTGCTTCTCATATGCCTGGCTTTCATATGTCTGATCTTTTATTCCCCTTCCTTCCCTCCCCCTCCCCTTTTATGGAGATTACCCGCTCTGTGATCCCACAGCTAATTCTCCCCTGGTCTTCTTGCTGGCCCAAATAGGACTAATTTAGCCAGCTAGCCCTGGTGATCATCTAATGTTTATTGGATGGATTTCCCCCCTAAATTGATTTTTGAATTCTGAATTTATTGTTATTCACATTTTATACTGTATTTTATAGGGACGTGGGTGGCGCTGTGGGTTAAACCACAGAGCCTAGGACTTGCCGATCAGAAGGTTGGTGGTTCGAATCCCCGCGACGGGGAGAGCTCCCATTGCTTGGTCCCTGCTCCTGCCAACCTAGCAGTCTGAAAGCACATCAAAGTGCAAGTAGATAAATAGGTACCGCTCCGGTGGGAAGGTAAATGGTGTTTCCGTGTGCTGCTCTGGTTCGCCAGAAGCGGCTTAGTCATGCTGTATGCCGGCTCCCTCGGCCAGTAAAGCAAGATGAGCGCCGCAACCTCAGAGTCGGTCACGACTGGACCTAATGGTCAGGGATCCCTTTACCTTTACCTTACAGTATTTTATGCTGTTTTTTGTTGCATCAATTAAGTGTTTTAAATTTGTTGTTAGCCACCCTGAGCCTGGTTTTCTTAACTGGGAAGGGTGGGGTATAAAGATGATGATGAAGATGATGATGATGATGATGATTATATTTATCTGGCCTGGGCAGATAAATGTGGAACAAAGGAGCATGTGATTTGTTGCCTAAGCTTTCTTTCATAAGGTGACTGTGCTCACGATTGGCAACGGTGCTCCCAGGTGATCGAAGCAGCAACCTGAAAAACTGGTTAGGTCGGGCCTGTCTTACCTGGTATTTGATGCCGTGGGGGAAGTACTCCATGAAAATGTCAGACTCATTGCCCTGCACCTCCCGGTACTGGATAGGTTTTTCTTTCAGGAAGAAGTTGAGGTTGGTGGAGAGCAGAGCGCAGGCTCCCTGCTCGTCTCGGGAGGAGTTCTGGCCTGGGTGACAGGGAGAGAGCAGTTATTTGATAGGAATCGTTCCAGCTCCATTTCTGATGGATATTCTCAGGATAATTCTCATGTATACTACTCCCTCAAATAGCAAACTTGGGTGTTGAGCACTGACAGAAATGAGACCAAAATAGGGCCACTGGAAAACAAGAGGGTAGCATGAGCATGCTCAGATAAACCTTCAGGACTGCAGAAGTTCAAAGGGAGCATTTGAAAAACCCCAAGGGGGAGGCAACAGCTCATTGAGAACTAAGAAGGAGTTGGAGGAAAAAGTCCTGTTACACAAGCATAAATCCTTGTGCTGACAGGACATGTTGGTTGGACGCTGCCTAATAATAATAATAATAATAATAATAATAATAATAATAATATGGGAGAGAGATTTCCCTAAACTCCAATAGGTACAACCTGTGTCACACATGTCAAAGTGTCTTAAGCTCTAGTGTTGCCAAAAACAAAACAAAACAAAAAAAACAGCTCAGCAACTTTTTGGGCAATCTTGAAATAAGGCAACCCTATAAGATCACTTTTTTCATATCCTGATGTGTGTCACTTCCTCATGTTTTAATATTTGGCTCAGGAGAAAGTGCGGGTGGAGGCTGCTTTCCTACTGAATCAGCCCACTGATGGGTTCTGCATATGGATAATTCGTCTCATCTCTGCCAAGCCTTGCTGCTTACCAATCCAGATGTGCACACTGGACTGTTCATCAGGTCCATTGTGAAGAACCAGGTAAGAATCCCCAGAATAGAAGATGCCTTTCATCTCTTCTGGTACCGACACAGGCTTCATCTTCTCCACTCGCCAGATGTGGAGGCCCGGCTCTTTTACCGAAGCATCGAAGGGTGAGCCACTGCCATGCAAAAAAGGAAGAAAGCAATGGATTGCAAGACAGAAGGGCCAGGATAGGATGAGACCAAAGGAACAGGAGAATAAGATGCAAGTAGAGAAGGAGAAGTGAAAAGGAAGAGAGACTTCAAAGAGGACAAGATGAAAAGTGATGGATCAGCTTTGGGGAATCTGTGCTCCTCCAAATGTTGTTGGACTACAACTACCCATCATTCTTAATCATTGACCATGATAGCTGGGACAGATGATGTTGGAAGTACAACAGCAAGGATTATTCAGTTTGTCGCTTAAGGGTTAATTCTGTTGACAGTCAGCTGACCAGGGGGTGGTGGAAGAAATGTTGCCTTGCAACCAGTCAGAAAGGCATGATCTTTGCTGAGGTCATTTGTGCTCTGTCTGTGTAGTTCTGAGGGAGTATGCCCTACTCTGAACAAGGCCTGTAAATAAGGCAAGAAATCTCTGTTTATTTCTTCCCATCTTATTTACTGCTTTTTTGTTGTTTACCCAATAAAGTATTATGAGTTTCTTTTCTCTCTGGACTCCATCTGCATTATTCAAGTAACTCTGATACCAGATGAGAGCTGGAGTCAAACCATGGCTGGATCAAGACACATTAAAAAAAACCCAAAAACATTTCAGGAAAACCTCTTAATGGGAAATCACGTTGGAGAAAGACAGACCTCCACAGCGCCATCAGGTACCCCAGTGTTAGAAAGCATTTAAAACACTTTTTTCTTTACTAATGTAGCTGAATCACAGGCCTGGAGAAGCACTATTTCTCTGCCCTTGAGATACAAGGTGAATCCAGGTGAGGAGAGAGGATGAGGGAGGAAAGAGGGAAACCAGACTGTTTACACAATGCATGTTGGGATCTACTTTGTTGTTTGTTTAATTAGCATCTCAAGGTCCTTGAGCTGGAGTCAGATGCAAAATGGTAGCACAGTGGTAGTAGAACCAATTACCTTCTGAACCTCAGACTGGGGAACCTTCCACTGAGGAAAAAACTATGAGTGCTTCCTGGTGACCTGTTTATTGACCATTCACCCCAATTTGTCTGCAGGAAGATTTGATTAGTATTTCTTCTGATTTGTTTGCAGGGAGGTTAGATGACATTGTGTCAAACATTCCACACTTTCCAGGGCATTTCTACATCACTTTCTTTATTGCAAAAAGTCCAGTATTTCAGGGGAGTGGGTTTGTTGCGCAAGACCTCCCAACCAATTATAATTGTGCGACTTAAATTTACGTGGTTTGTGATTCCATCCCACCCGAAAAGAGCAACAGTCTGGGGGTGCCCTACATAGTAAACAAGCTTTTTAATATTATTATTATTTTAAAAAAGGTGTTTAAACTAGCCGATTTTACAATAACTAAAACACAGTTCCAGGGAGCCTGTCTGGAACATGCTGTTGGATGGGCAGTGAAAAAAGTTCATTACCTTTTGGGGATTGCTGTGTACATGGTTCCGGGATCTGCAGAGAAAGAAACATTTCAGGGTTATCACGCTTGGAACAGAGTAGTCTACCCACAGATTGCTATCTCCCTGAATGAGACAGAGGGGACATAGCTCAGTGAGAAGTGCAAGGAGAATATCGAAGGTTGACTGTTGAATCAGTGGTGCGGTTAAGCAATTTTTGATTTTGGACCACATGTCTCTTTGGGTGCACTTGAGATGTGTTATCAAATATTGGGGGGGGGAGAACCCCACATCCTTCCCTACATTCCCTCTTGCATGTTAAGATCAGCAGGGGGTACCTTCTCATAGTTCATTTGCCCTTGAAAGCTCAGGGACGGCCAACCTGGAACAGGGCCTTCCTTGTGGCAGCCCCTTAGCTGTGGAATTCCCTACCTACAGAGTTGTGTCTGGTACCTTCACTATACAGCCTTTGTCAATTTCTGGAGATACAGCTCTCTTACTGGCCTTTGACACCTAACAGATACAGTATGTGTAAGTGTAAACTGGTTGCAAATTGTTTCAACTGATATTATAGGTAAAGGTAAAGGGACCTCTGACCATTAGGTCCAGTTGTGGCCGACTCTGGGGTTGCGGCGCTCATCTCACTTTATTGGCTGAGGGAGCCAGCGTACAGCTTCCGGGTCATTGGCTGAGGGAGTCAGCATGACTAAGCCGCTTCTGGGGAACCAGAGCAGTGCACGGAAACACCGTTTACCTTCCTGCCGTAGTGGTACCTATTTATCTACTTGCACTTTGACGTGCTTTTGAACTGCTAGGTTGGCAGGAGCTGGGACTGAGCAATGGGAACTCACCCCATCACGGGGATTTGAATCGCTGACCTTCTGATCGGCAAGCTCTAGGGCTCTGTGGTTTAAACCACAGTGCCACCCACGCCCCTAACTGATATTATATACATATATATATATATATATATATATATATATATATATATATAATTTCTGTTTGTTACAATATTGTAGCTTTATATTATTGTAATTGGGACCTAATAGTGAAGACCTGGTAAGAAATCCAATTGATACTGATGATACAACTGGAACATCCCAGGTTCCCCATCCTTGGTTGAGTCTCTTTCTTGATCTTCCTTCCTTCCTCCGTTATGTAAAATATTCTGTGCAGCATGGAATACCCGGCCACTAATATAGAGACATTGCTGGCAAATAAACTTATGGAAAGAAGTGAGGGCCACTGGCTCAAAGGGCTTTCTGATGGGAATTAGACAACTTCCCAGAGTATTGGTTTACTTCAGTTAATTAATTCATCATTCATTCATGAATCGCTTCCCATGAAACATCCCAAAGCGATTCAACAATTAAAAAAACCCCCATCCACAATAAAAACATATATATAAATACAGTTCCTAGCCCGATGAAGAAAAAAGCTGGGATAATAAATCTCCACTGGTTGGAGAAGGTAGGTCCAAAAGGCACCAAAAAGACAAATATGGCCCTGTCTGTGATATAATGAGAAGGAGTTCTGAAGGGTGGGTTTCACCACACTAAAAGGTCCCATAACTATATCATACAGAACAGGCTTCCTGATACGATGGTATCTGAGGTGGCCTTCTCTCCTGCAGAGTGCAGTGATCAGTTGGGTACACAGGGGATGGCATTTTAGGAATCCTGCTTCTGAGCTGTATAAGGCTTTGGGTACCAGCGTTACCACCTTGAACTTAGCCCAGCAAGAAGTTGGCCGCCAGCGTGCTTTCAGCAGTGCTGCAATATTCTGCCCCAATGAGCAGTCAGAACACGCAATTTTGCACGAGGTGCAGCTTCCGGGTCAACCTAAGGGGCAGTCCCACATAGGGTGCACTGCGGTAGTCTAGCCTGGAGGTTACTAGCACACGGATGACAGTGGCCGGCTTTGTTTGTGATCACTGGCTACAATGGCTAAATGTCAAGGTCAAGGGGAGCATTTTTGCACTCCATGGGGGGGGGAATGATCTTCATACTACCCTTCGAATTTCCTTGAAGCATTTGACTGGTTGCCGTGGGAGGCAAGACTCTGGGCCAAAAAGACCTTGATCTAATTCAGCAGGGCTCATCTTCCTAAGTCCTCGTTTAAGTACTGCCTTTCAGTCTGCTGAAGCAATTTATTTGCAAAGTTAGCAGCCAGCTGTGGCTGATCATGTCCCAGGGGCATGGAAATGACTCAAGCAGCCAGCCTTGGGTTTTGTAATGCGCTTTAAGCTCATTAAAAGTATGCTTAAGTCACATGCCACCCATTGCCACATTGATAGCTTCTGACTGGGGGGGTGCCAATCTGTTGCAATGGGGAAGGGCAGTTGGGCCAGTTGATGTTAACTTCCCCATTTTAAAGCAAGCAAGCTCTCAGCTGGAACAGATGCCTAGATCAGGGGCAGATCTCATGCTCTGTGCATTGTATTCAGGCAAAAACCCTCTTCGCACCTAATAGGGGAAGGGTCTCTGGAGGCTGACACATTAGGGCAAAACTCTTTCTCTTCATCTCCTACCTGATCCTTTTAATGCAGCTGGGAAAGGCCTCAAGGAATAGGAACGAAGAAAACTGGTCCCACTTGATCCCATCTGCAATGGGCTAAGAGGCTCCTCTTGTTCCAAGCTACTGCTTGGAACTGGGGATATACTGCAAATTGTTGCAGGTCCCCACTTGTTTCGATCTTTTCTGAAAACGGGGAAGCTGTGATGAATCAGCCAGCCACAAAAATGGAAATACAGATGGAGGTTATGCTAGTACTTGAATTACCAGGGGCAGAGAAATGACAGGGGTGGGCAGCCCCCTTTTTTGTGATGGTCCCATTAGCTACTCTTTTTTAGAAAGCTTAAAGGAGGGAGGAATGATTGACTACAACTGAAAGGAGTTGCAGGGTGGCTTTCGCTCTATAAGACGCACCAGACCATAAGATGCACCTAGTTTTTGGAGGAGGAAAACAAGAAAAAAAATATTCTGAATCCCAGAAGCCAGAACAGCAAGAGGGATCTCTGTGCAGCGAAAGCAGCGATCCCTCTTGCTGTTTTGGCGTCTGGGATAGCTGCGCAGCCTGCATTCGCTCCATAAGACGCACACATATTTCCCCTTACTTTTTAGGAGTGAAAAAGTGAGTCTTATAGAGCAAAAAAATACGGTAAATTGCCCCACCCTAGACACACACACACCTTTCCCCTCAGAATATTGACTGGGGATTTGCTGAAGGAGGGAGGCGTTGGATGCACCAAACATTTAAAGTACACCCCCTGCAATGAATCCTGGGAACTGTAGTTCACTCCCCCCAGAGGTACAATTCCAAGAATGCTTGACAAGCGACTGTCCCCAGGATTCTTGGGGAGGGATGTGCGAGGTGTTGAGAGACAGAACAAAGCGGCCAGGAACTGCTTGTGCAAATTCAGCCGGGCTGTTTGCAAATATCTTTGCCTGCAAGCCTAATCTTTTCCACAGCCACCCCGGCACAAGCAGCCTTCCAGCCCTAGCTTAAGTTTTAAACATCTGCACGGCGCAGGAGACGAGGTTTGCATCCACTCACCAAGACGGGTCCACTCCCCGGCAGCCTCTGCTAAAGCAAAACTTTTCAGAAGAGGGGATGTAATGTTAGATTTCCTGGGCGGGGACTTTCCTGTCTATTGAAGCTTTTCATTGCCTCACTTCTTTCGTGGCTGCAGGGGAAAGGGAAAAAAATGCGGTCGAGGAGATGAGTGACTCACTTCACTTCTGATCTGCCATCATTCTGCTCTTCCTGTCCTGCGTCCTCGGGCTTCGCTTGCTTTGCTGATGCCCTTTGACCCTGCCAGCATCACTTTGCCATAGGGCAGCCGCGGACAATGGTCAAGGGCACCTCGAACGATGTCCAGCCGCAAAGCCTTGTTGTTTGCTCGAGCACAGACTGGGGCTCGCCTCTTTATGCAGGCCACCAAAGTGGAACAGTTACAAACATCCTGCAATTTTTATGCTGGGAAATGAGACACTTCTCCCTCGCAAAGCCAAGAGCGGAAACCCAATCGGCTCGTGTTTCAGGTCTCCTCTTTAAGCGTCATCACATTCCAGGGTTGTTGGTTTTTGGCACACCTATATTCCGAGCCGAGCCCCACCGTAGATAACATGAAAATATTTACAGAGAGCCCGTGGACATAGCCAAGAGGGGGAATATTTTATTGAAAATATTATTGAAAAAAATGAAAGTACTCAATAATCTGAGGTTCTGTGTGTCCCCCCCCAGCAGAAACCTGCTCCCCACAATGTCCTATTTATTTTTACCTGTGATTTCCCAGGAAAAACTCAACAACTTTGGCTGCCCCCCCCAATCCCGTCTATGTCCATGAGAGAGCCTGGCCAAAGACACCACGAGGACTCATTCATCGCCTCAGGAAAGTTGACTTATGTTTCAGTAGTTCCTGCTCACACAATAAACTAGAGGTCCAGTAACAAGAACTGAGCCCACAGAAGGTATTGACTTACGTGTTTTGTTGTGTCTCTTATTTTCTGGACTCAACACCACATCAGCATTTGCTGCCCAGGGCTGGTTCAAACTATTTTGCTGCCCGAAGCTAAAATAATGGGTAGTATCCAAACCATTTCATACTCTGGGTAGATCTATTAAAACTGACGGTCGCAACTAACTTAGGCCTATTAGTTTCAGTGGATTTGCTCTAAGTAGGTGCTAGTTGGATAAAGGTAAAGGTAAAGGGACCCCTGACCATTAGGTCCAGTCGTGGCTGACTCTGGGGTTGCGGCGCTCATCTCACTTTATTGGCCGAGGGGACCGGCATACAGCTTCCGGGTCATGTGGCCAGCATGACTAAGCCGCTTCTGGCGAACCAGAGCAGCACACGGAAATGCCATTTACCTTCCCACTGGAGCGGTACCTATTTATCTACTAGCACTGGTGTGCTTTCGAACTGCTAGGTTGGCAGGAGCAGGGACCGAGCAACGGGAGCTCACCCCGCCACAGGGATTCGTACCGCCGACCTTCTGATCAGCAAGCCCTAGGCTCTGTGGTTTAACCCACAGCACCACCTGCATCCCCTTAGTTGGATACAACTCTGTAATTTTACTCTCTTTCATCTTGTTTGTGAGTAAGTGTCAGGCCTGGTGTTTGGGGTGGGCCAGAGCAGGCACGGATCAGGAGCCCTAGGAGCTGCCCAGGTCACCTCCCTGGTCTGACCACCTCCCTGGGCCCCCAGAAGCGGCATAGGGAGCCCTGCCAGCACCTGGGGTGGACAGGCGCACTGCGCCATGGGGATGGGGCATGCATGGGAGTGGGGTGCGCACCAGAGCAACTTAGCATTCCTTAGCTCGACTGGCGCAGCTACGTTGACGGGAAACTGTCACCTTTGTCATCATCATCAAACCTTTTATAGTCATACCTCGGGTTGAAGTAGCTTTGGGTTGAGTGTTTTCAGGTTATGCTCCGCTGCGACCCAGAAGTAACGGAACGCGTTACTTCCGGGGTTCGCCGCGCGCACATGCGCAGACGCTCATAATGACATCACACGCATGCGCGGAAGCGGCGAATCGTGACCCGCGGGTTGCATTTGCTTCAAGATGCGAATGGGGCCCCAGGACGGATCCCGTTCACATCCAGAGGTACCACTATATTGGCTTCACATACAAAGATCCAAAACAAATCAATACAGAATTACCACTTCCCCAGTGGTAAAAACGTTTGCTAAAAGAAAGGAGGCAGAGCAGTCTATTGTCACATGTCTAGGTCTCCAGAGAGACCAGACGTCTGCAGTGTATTTCGATGACAAATAGAGATATTTAGCCACTAACTTGGTGAGCTCCTGATCATTCCCCAGTAATAGAAAATGTATGGCCTCCAACTCTGGTTTCCATTTGGGGATACAGAGTTGATCTAGAAATTGCTGACGGAGATCAGCATATAGTTTACAATTAAGAACCATATGTGTGAGGGTTTCCACCAGGTGAGCGACCACATCATGACGGAGTGTATGTCGCCTTTGTGGGCATGGTGAGGGTTGCATTTGCAGCACAGCAGAGAGACTGGGTCAATCTCAAACTTGGGTCTCCAGCTGTTTTTGGACTACAACTCCCATCATCTATAGGTAGCAGGACCAGTGGTCAGGGATGATGGAGACTCATGTTTGAGAAACACTTCACTGAGCCAATGGCTATCTTTGTCTGAAAGTTCTCCTGGTGATGCTTGAGGAAGTAGCAAGGGACAGTCCAGATTCTGCTGCCTAGACTCCTTTTGTCGCTGTGATTTATGACAACAACCCACAAATTTCTATGGCTTTCGGTTGCTGCTGGTAGGGAAATGACTGCTTATGTGTTTCTCAACACCATGAAGGTCCAGATGCTAATCTGATTTGCTGCAATGATATCAGGGAATCAAATCTCTTGGGAGCCATATATATATCTGTAGCTTCGCGCCAAGGAAACCACACAGTTTTAACTGTAAATGTTTATCTGATATAATGTTATCTAAGTTTTTGTTTTTAAAATTTATTTCTGCATTGCAAGCACCCACGACTTGTTTCTGCTCCCAAGATAAGGGTGAGGACTAGTACCAGAGTGCCTTTTGCATTGTGCGTAATGTGGCACATCAAAGACTCTGTGACAACTTTGTTCCAGGCCAGCTCTTCCAGTCCTCTCAACCGAGGGTGGGTACCAGTAGTGCAGTGGCAAATTCAGAAATGCAGATAATTGCAGCCATGCTTCCATTATTATTCTTCTTGTTGTTGTTATTATTACAGTGGTACCTCGGGTTACATTTACTTCAAGTTACATACGCTTCAGGTTACAGACTCCGCTAACCCAGAAATACTACCTCGAGTTAAGAACTTTGCTTCAGGATGAGAACAGAAATCGTGCTCCGGCGGTGCGGCAGCAGCAGGAGGCCCCATTAACTAAAGTGGTGCTTCAGGTTAAGAACAGTTTCAGGTTAAGAATGGACCTCCAGAATGAATTAAGTACTTAACCCGAGGTACCACTGTATTATTATTATTATTATTATTATTATTATTATTAAAATTTATATACAGCCCTATACCCAGGTGTCTCAGGGCGGTTCCCAGAATAAAATCAAGATATGAAACCACAAAATACATAATAAAAGTAAAAACAACAACCCAATTAGCCCCCCCCCCCAGGTTATACAACCTTCTAAGATTTATACAATAATCTTATAATTATACAATAATACTTATTGTTTGGGATGCATCGCAATGATCAGTGCAGATTGCCATGCATTGCTCTTTGACTAGATCTACTATTTTCTCTGCACATAAATGCACAAATGCTTTGGAGCGCTCCTGTATCATCTTCTTCTTTTGAGTAAATTAAGTTGCATTTCCTTTGACGTTCCATTGTACATAACAGAACTTGCGCACCATCCACTAGGCCCAAATCTGGACGGGAAATCATTGCCGCACACTTGAAACGGTCCAGTCTAAATTCTTAAGACAGATTCTAGCCGTTCCACCATGCGCACCAAATGCGGCCCTACGGCTGGAGACTGGCCTCCTCTCCGTCGAAACCCGAACCTGGTTAAGAACATTCAACTATTGGCTTCGCTTAAATTTAAACCCATCCGGACTACTACCTCTAGTAGCACGAGATGCTCATAGAAGTAGGTGGTCCAAAGTAGTGCATCAAAAACTACTTACATGTGGCCTCCAAGCACAGCATCTCCTGAAAATGGGGCTCCCCAAGGCAAAAACCATTATTGACCAGCGCATGAAGGATATTGAGCAGCAGAATAATCTGGCCTATATTAAGAAATTTAGTGCTTGGTACGCTTATCTGCCCCCCTCCCACTTTGATTTTCGGGCACCTTATTTGTCTACCTTAACTATTCCAAAACTCAGACGGGCCTTTACATTGGCCAGACTAAATATGTTACCCTCAGCTGTTCTTGAAGGTAGATATCAAAAAATTTCATTCGAGAACCGGCTCTGCCCCTGTGGAGCTGGCTACGTGGAGACCGTGTCACACGTTCTCTTGTCTTGCTCCCTATATAAAGATCTCAGGGACGAGACCATCACGCCGCTCCTATCTGCCATCCCGGGCCGCTCTTGTGAAGCCAAATTGTTCTCACTCCTAGCCGACCAGAACAGCTCGACAACAGAGAAGGTTGCCAAATTTATCGAGAGAGCAATGAGACTGAGAGCTGCTATCTGAATGACATCAGTGTCGTCACCCGGATTCCTCGCCTAGGATCTTATTATTATTATTATCATTATGTTTTATTATTATTATTTTATTACCTCTGCCAAGTTTTAAGTACTGAGATTATTAATTTATCTGCATCTGGTTATTCTTATCTTTCTCCCTGTCCTGACTATCCCTCCGAGGTTATATTTATATTTATAATCTTTCAATTTGGCTGGTCTATTTACTTAACCGACCTAATTCAAAGACTATCTGCAGAAACATTGCAAAATTAAAGAATGTTAGAGTGATGTTGGATTAAAAATAAGTGGCTTCCAGCTGTTTAGGATTTAAAAGTATGGATAGATTAAGATTAGGATTAGGATTAAAAAAGTTTAAGGAAATGGAAATTTGGTTTTTAAAAGGTAAAATTTTAATGTTATATTATATTAAGAGTTAAGATTGGGATTAAAAAAGAGGGAAAGAAATTGCTGGACAAACAATTTGAACTGGAATACAAAAGAGGGAGGTACGAGGAGGTCCAGAAAATAAGTAAATTTAAAAATGGAGACGAAAAGGTGATATTGTTTTTAATTGTTCTACTTTCTTTTTTGTCTTTTGTTTTCTTGTTTTTTTTTTTGTTTTTTTTCTTTTAGATTATGTATTGTATATTTTGAATTGTGTATTTCTTTTTTATGTTTTATGTTTAATCTTTTATTGAAACTTTAATAAATATCATTAAAAAAAAAAATTTACTTAACCGACCTGGAACAATCTACCAGAGAAACGGCCGCCGCCCATGGGACAGAGGGTCATTGATGAATGATAATCCAGCTTTTACCTAGGGTTTTAATAGGTCATAAGATTTTATGGTAACTATATTT